CGATATCAATGTCATCTGCATAACCAAGTATTCTTTTAAATTCTCATACAGTACACTCTTGTTTTAATTACCTTATAATTTTCTCCAGGGCCAAGTTGAAAAGAAAGTGAGGACAGAGCATCACTTGCTTTAAACCAGATGTTTTTTTAAAAAGGTCTGACTTTCTGCCTTTATTACAAGTATCTTCCATACATAGTTTGGTGGTCATGGTAATTAACTTCTTTGGTATTCCAAAGTTCTTTCTAGCATTCCACAAACTGTTTCTATGTACACTATCATATGCTTTTTTTAAATCCACAAAAACTTTATGTAAATCTCTTCTATATTCCCAATTTTGCTGGGCTTTTTGCTGTAAAAAAAAATCTGATCTGCTCTGTCGAAAACCCGCTTGGTAATCTCCCAATATGTCTTCGACATATGGTTTCAGCCTGTTTAGCAGTACTGCCGATAGTACCTTATAGCTTGTAGATAATAATGTTATTCCTCTATAATTTTCACATTTATACTTGTCTCCTTTCTTAAAAATGGGTATTAATAAAGACACTTTCCATTCATGGAGTAATTTCTCTGTCTTCCAAACAAGTTTTATTAATTCATATATCTTTACATGTAATGCACGACCACTTTCTTTTATAAGTTCAGCAGCAATTCCATCAGCACCAGTTGCTTTATTGTTTTTAAGCCGTGTTATGACATACAGTACTTCTTCAAAATCAGGCTCTTCAGTATTTGGTTCACATTTTAATATCTCTTCCTGTGAATAAGTATTAAGCGGAGTTTCACAATTTAAAAATTCAGCAAAGTATTCATTCCATCTGTAATTGCTTTTTTGATGTCCTCGTTTTACAGCCTTCAGTTCTTAAAAAAAACTTTCTGGATTCGTTGTTTTGATGGTTAGCTACCATATACATGACATTGTTGTTCATGTATTCTCGCCTTTGGTGCCTAACTACCTTTGTTGCTCTTTATATTCTGTTCTATATTTTTCTTCATTTCGTGTTACTAGTATCATTTGCCAAATCTGCCTGGCATGTTTTTTCTTACTGACTTCTTCACATTTTGTATCGAACCATTTGTTCTTTCTGTTTATGATGGACACACCAAGACATTCTTCTGCAGTAGTTTGAATTATATTCTTAATATCCATCCAGATTTGGTCAACGTCTTCCTCTGACGGAATTTGTAAAATTTCAGTTTTATGTTTTAATTCATCTGCAAATTTCTCTGATATGGATGTTTCTTGTAATTTTTCACTATTGTACTCTGGATGTGATCTTTATAGCTTGGTGTAGAAGGATCTGTTTAACTTGATTTTTAATTTTGCTCCAACCAGGTAGTGGTCACTATGACACTCAGCTCCTCTGTAGCTTCTAACTTGTATGTTCGGTGCATTTCTATTATTTAATAAAAATGTGATCTATATGATTATAAGTTATCCTGTCACATGATTGCCAGGTTTGTTTATGTATATCTTTTCTTTGAAATCTGGTGCTGCTTACCTGTAGTCCTTTTGCTATGGCGAGGTTGATCAATCTACATCGATTATCATTTGAATTAGTATGTAGGCTTTTCATGCCTGTTACATTTTTATAGGTGTTTTCTCTTCCTATTTTTGCATTGAAATCTCCTAAAACAATCAATGTGTCTTATTTTTGAGCTTCATCTATGATAGGTGTTATGTTTACAAAGATAAAATGTTACCCAAAAGAAATTTCACTTACTTTGAATTGCAGCAACAAGAGCAGTGAATATTCATATTTGAGAATAAAACTTTAAAGTTTGTTCAGTTTCCTAACAAGTTCAAAAGTTATGAGATGTTTCTGGGTTAGTTTCTCACTCAGAGGCTATATGTTCTCCTAGGTGCTGAACTAAATTTCATAGAAAACAAAATGTCAGAAAATTGCATTTATAGTCCTATAACCCAAAATGTTGAATTTGTGGTTTTATACAGATTGTAGCTGCAATAATTTCAATGCAGCTTAGCCATAGTATGAGTATGGTACTGTCTGAACAGTGCTTTGTATGCAAATGTGAGTGACTTTGGTATCATTCGCATATCAAATGGTGAGCAATCACTAGAGATACGCATTAAATTAAATTTAAAACACAAAATAAATCTGTGGTATGTTTTTAATGATATTGCAACAGTCAACTACTGGTTTTACATCCATGTACAATTTACTTTTATGTACAAAAACTGATGCACTCACATACAAAAACATGTACACACAAGACAGTTACTCTGTCCCTGCGGTTGCTATGGCTGGCCCAGTATTGGACAGAAGTGATGTTATCAATGCCATGCGCTGCACTTACTGTACCAAGCAGCACGCCAAAGGTCATGACTCCGTATCTCTGTCTAGACTGATGGACATGGGGGTGCAGGCTGGAGCTGCAAGAAATGAATACTTCACTAAGGGGACGAGACGTTTCATTAACCAACACAGAAAAGGCGCCATCAATCATTTTACACTCGTGGAGCTTTTGGGGAGGAGATTGGAGCACCTATGGATCTGTCTGGAGTGCTGTGATGATAATCCTTTCTAATCACTAATCACGCTGTCCCTTCTGACCCCTGACATAATGATCTCTACCAGGATCCTCAACAACTTATCTGCTTTTACTTTTTTCTCCTCAGAACTTCTGACTATTCTGATGTATTAATCAGTTGCTATGTGTCACTTATCAGTAAGCACTAAAGTTAAAAGCACTCAACAATAGTTAGGGTTCCTAGGTCAACCCCCGCCTAACATTTATCCCAGGAAATATCCTGGGAAATAAAGGCAGCTTGCACGATGATCATATCACCCAAAAAATGCCAAATGCTTAATAAAAATAAGTGTCTAGCAGCATTTGCCTAATGTGCCCATGCTTATTAACTTGGCAGATGATGATGATGATTATCATCAGGACACAGCAATCATTTCACCACATCCCTACTTGGTTTTAAGGGCTGTCCTGGGGTAGTAGCTAGATGCTCGTCTGCAGAGTGGAGGGTCATGGATTCAGTTCCTGGTGAAACTGACCTTTTTAAAAAAAAAAATGACCTCTGGCTTCCAGGTTGACCCAGCGTTGAATGGGTACCAGGTAAAAGTCCTGGGAAGTAAAGGCAGCTAGTGCCATGCTGACCACATCAACCACCCATTGCTCACTGGTCTACAAAATATAGGTCTGGCCCTATATACCCAATGTGTCTAAAGGTATGGAAAAGGGTCATCTTCCTTTACTACTGGGCTTCAGTATAAAAATGATCTGGAATGTTTTGATCGATCAGTTTGCCGCCTCCGGGCTGCTGCCTAAAGGTTCAACATACCTGACATTAGAAAACTCTCAATGTGGATGGCAGACCAACAGATACCCCGTTCAACCCCTAAAGAAGTTATAATTAGGGCACCTGAAACAGCTTCATCAGCCAGGTGTCACCTGCAGTCCTATATCAGACCTCTAGAATGTTTCTCCCTAAAAATACTTGAATAAAGTTAGCTGTCGCTAAGACTAGAATATCCACTTTACTTTCATTAACCCATTAGTGAAAAACAATCACTTTCAATAATATCATGTGGCAAAGACTGTCAGGTTGGGCTTCTTTCATGTAAAAACTATTTATACTGCTTGAATTTACTACAAAGACGGCAAATCAAATCGTTTGGCCACTTAGAGAGAACGCCATGTGACCCGATACCATACAAGGCATATACCAAAAGAGGAGCAGGACATACAGCAGGAGGTAGACCAGAACAAAATGGATAGATAACATCAGAGAAAGTCTACAACAGAACAATGTGTCTATGGCTGAGGTGGCCAGAAGAGTAAGTAACAAAACCTATACCTCCCTCGACACCTGAAGCGGTAAAAGACAAAGTGAAGAAGATTCACCCCCCCCCCCCCCCCACCTTTTTTTTAAGGGCAGTGTAGGACAAGAGGTAGCAGTCTTGAGCATGAGCATTTTAATGCTGCAAAGTTGATGCAGTAGTGCAGGTACCATGACCGGGATGTTTTTTTTAGTCCCTGAATTGAAAACATTTTGTTGTTTTGTTTACTAACGTGATTATTACAGACAGTAATGACATGATTGGGGGGGGGGGGGGCGCTTATAGTCAATATATTAAACACACATATATGCTCAGTTAATCAAATGTAATTTGTGGCCAATCAATTCAACATACACAGTTCATCAAATGTAACGTGTGGCCAATTCATTCAACACAAATACATGCTCAGTTCATCAAATATCATTTTTAACATATGGTAAGAACAACATTTCACTGGCATTAAAACAAACCATATAGATACAAGAGCACCACTAAACAATGTTATACACAATACAGCTTTCTAGTGGAGATAATTGAACATTTGCGCAAGAATTAACTCTTCTAGTCTTAAGTAGCTGTTACACCTGTGTGGGTTTGAGAGCCCCAGTACAGAGGGGTGGGGGATGAAAAGACCCACTACCCCCCCCCCCCCCACCTAAAAGGTATGTTGAAGAAGCCATCTAATTAGGGCTGTTTTCTTCAAAGTCAAAGTACATCCACCTGAGAGGTGAGGAACCAACAGTCTGCATACAAATAAGCTAGATCCGTAAAACTGACATGCATGCAAAACCTAGGTCCTGGAACAAGTCCAAAGTCCAGAAGTGGACGAACGACTAAAGATTTCCGCTAGAGTTTACAGCCGGTGAGTGTGAAGAAGAAGTTATTTTAACCCTTTCTATTCAAACAAGTTATTCCAAAGGGAATTAAAATATTTCAATTTTAACATATGTCAATGAAAGTTGGAGCTCATTGTTCTAACCACACATCCAACGGCTCCTCACTTTGTAATGAAAGAGTTAAATTATTCTCCAAAATTAAAGCATTGTTTCAGTATTCAGTATTTCCTCCTAATCATTCCCCTTCCCTTATTTAGCTTTTTTTTTTTTACTCTTTCAATTTAGTCCATACATTGGGCGGGTATTTGTTAGGGCCTTCGTCATTCATCCGTTAGGGTTCTGTTGAGTGAAATCAAGTGCCTGGTAAGGAGTCAAGTTGATCCTTGTACTCAGTGTACAATCGTTGAAACTTCAAATCAGCCCCAATTGAAGGCAGGGTGCTCCGGAGTATTGTGTGCTTGTCAATGCCCTGCAGAACCATGCAAATCATTCAGTTACACATATTTACAAGTATATCTGTAACTAATCAAGCTAACTGCAAACTACTGTGTGTGTGTGTGTGTTCATGCGCATGTTTACGTGCATGTTAAAAAAAAAACCCATAGAGAAACAACATGATATGCACTGGCAAAACAACAGCAGCCTTTCAAAGCTTCAACTGAATTTGGAAATCTAAATTATACTTTTAATACTAAGTTAAATTATTTTCAATAGGAATGTTACTTTAATTCAAACATATGCCAGTGAAAGTTAGAGAACTACTAAAGACATGGAGGGAGTAAGGGTTAAATGCATTAAGATACAAATACCTGAACAGATTGCTGAATAGTGAATGGGATGAATTTGAGAAAGGTTAAGGGACAGAGAAATGTCTGGACAACTGCTTGTGTCAACAGTTCAAAAAAACAAATAAGGCGATATATTGGTCACATTCTCAGACAATGCGGACAAACAATCATAAAACAGGCAATGAAATGTGAAGAAGAAAATATGTGTGATGATGAAGTACAGACAACCAGAAGAAACTCTACAATGGAGGTTAATAAGAGAGGCCAGAGGTGCTAGACCACATCCCATAGATCAGTGGTTCCCAAATAGCGAAGATTTGCAGACGCCTCTTATTCTTAAAGTTCATGTCACACCTGGAAGTCTCTCTTTCTTTCTTAGTTGTACCCCACCAGGACATAACACAAGCGATAAACACCCGGTGACATGAAGTGCCACCATGCAGATGAGTATCACCTGTGGAGAGGTCCCAGAAACTGTTAGCCAGTGGGGCTTCAAAATAACTAAGAATTGCATTTCACAAGGGGATGACGATTGTGTTATACTCTCTATCATCTTTCACCCCACCAGGACATCACACAAGCGATAAACACCCGATGACACAAAGTGCCACCATGTGGATAAGGAACCGCGTTCAGCCATTAGACCATATTTATAGCTGGGCTTTATTGCGACCCCTAGCAAGAGCCAGGGTAGGGCTATCCTATTGCTAATAAAAATTTACATGTCTGCTATTAACAGTCACACTGTAGATATTATAATTTATAAATGTCAGAACTGCAAAAAGGATGAAATGATCCATCCATGACTTTCAGTATCAAATTGTTCTTTATTTTAAAGGCCATGGCTTTTGTGTGCTGTCTTAGATCAGCTATCATCTGTTTTTTTCTTGATGGAATTCTGCTTCCCCTACCACTGAGCTTTCAGGTCAACCTGATGTTTTCTATGTCTCTTCCCAGATCTTGGTCCGTGGTGTATTGGATACATTTTACTGATAATACTCCACCATTCCACACTCCTCTTAATGTTATCCTGCCACCCTGAAGGTTTAAAAGCTGCATCAAGTCACATTTGTGGAAATATCAGACCTAAGCTCACAGGTATTTTTCTTATAGACCATGCAGCGTGACATTGGTAGTCATGTCTATCCACAACCTTCTGTCACAAATACATTAAATCAATTCTGACACAGATGTTCCTCCAGGACCATGATGTCAGACTGTCCAGCATCTTCTCTCTTGGTCTCCCTCTGCCTTTCTTCCCCTCCAACTTTTCCACTATCATGATGTACTCCAACTGTCCTCCCCCCCAGGTTGGCCCAGGCTAAAATGGGCACCAGATAAGGTTCTGGGAAGTAAAGTTGACCACACCCACTGAGTGCCGATTGGTCTATGAAAATAGTGGTCTAGCATCATATGTCTACTACACTATTGGTGTGAGAAGTATTCTTTACTTTTGTTCTCCTCTTCTTCTTCTTTTCTGCGTTCAAAAGCTGTAAACTCTCACAGAAAGTTCTGGTTGTTCGTTCAGTTCTGGACTTTAGTCTTGTTCCAGAAATTGAGTTTTGTGTGCATATTCATTTTACAGATCTGGCTTATTTGTAGGCAGATTTGAAAACCCCCAGTTAGTATACTCCTACAACATTCTTGTCGAGGAGGCGGTGGAACTATTCTTGTTTTCTCCACACTAGGGCCCCTAACCCACATGTGGATCTTCTTATTCTTCCTATGATAATTTCACTAGACAGAACATAGAGATTTAATCCAGAATTTGAGTTATGCAAACCAATCAATATACATGCAACTCACCAGAATATACTGGGACCAAGTCTTTGATGAGCGTGATCTGTAAAGAGGACCAAGGAGTTCATCACACACCTCCCGCAGCTTTTCCTCCAAGCCTGGATTTAAAATTTTAAAGAAGAAAACAAAGAGTAAAAAACACTACGGATTATCTCTTTCAGTACCAAGTATTCACCATATGTTTATTGATTATTCAAAATACCATATACATTTCTTAACTTATACTCTGTTAACACATAGTTACCCTTCTTCTGGGCCAGCAAAAATCACATCGAACGTCCAAATAACTGACATAGACTGCATTTCCAGCAAAGTTAACAGCACAGGCATGCATTAGGAGCATAAGGCAGCCATTCGAAGTGCCAACTCAAATAGTCAAATAGACAATAGAAATGTAGTTCCTTGTCAATAAAAATAGTGTTTTTGTGCATATCCATTTTACAGTTGTGGCTTATTTGTATGCAGATGATATTTGATCATTTTTTGGGAAGGTCATGGATAGTGAGCATACTTTGGATCTTTTCTCCAGGCTATGCTGATGTGGTGGGGAATGAACAGGCCAACAGATTGGCTGGATCTGAACCACCGGGTGGTGAACTGATATATGACATGCCAGATGTGGTCAGGGCCCTTTGGGAACAAGCAACAGAGTCAGAAGCAAAACAAGATTACTATGGCCTGGAGAGAATGAGGCACCTGGGTGTAACAAGGGAGTCTAGCCGGCTCACTACACTCAGAGGAAAGGTAAGACGGACATATAACCAGATTGTGACCGGTACCATCAGTACTGGAACTCTGCACCGGCTATTGAAGATGAAGACAGAGCATGCATGGGAATACAATTCTTGACTCAACTCAACTGAAAGTAGTGTACACAACAATCAGTAATGCACATGTAATTAATTGCATAAGGCACCACCAGTTCTGGGGCAATGGCCACCCATCATTTTTCAGTATCTGGTTCAGTTGGGCACAGCTGAAAAACATTCCAAATGAAGTCTGCAGCTCTCACTGTCATGCCATGCACTAAACTTAGTAGCTGGGCCACTGAACTATATAGTTAGAGTACACACATGGAGGAAAATGCCATGGCTAACCCCTGCAGAAGCAAAGACTTCCCATAACTACTCCTAGTAAGCCTGCCTATCTGCTACATTAGACTGGAAATACTTCTGTAAACAATAATCCAATTGATTCTGTCCCATAGGTGTGTTGTGTTAGTTGAAATCCTCAAGACTCAAAGACTGTTGCTATAATAATTTGGGATGAGACAGTATCAAAGTAACAAGAGTTAGCAATGCAAACATGTCCAATAATAGTTTAATGGACTTCATCTTCTTTTTCTTCCATTTAATGTTCAGTCTGTAAACTCTTCTGGCAGAAAATTCTTGTTTCTTCATCCATTTCTTTGGTTTCATTCCGGAACTTGAGTATTGCATGCTCATTTCTTTTACAGATCTGGTTTTGTCTTTTGTATGTATCAGTTCCTTGCCTCTCAGGCAGATACAATTTGACTTTTGTGGAGACCTCAAATTAGTTGTTTTAAGATTTTCTTATTAGCAGAATGGGAAAGAGCTGTAGGTCTATTTCCCCTCTCAAAATGAAGCCCCAGAACCCAAACTGGGAAATTTGTGTTTTATAATGCGTCCTTCTAAGAATTTTGTGTTTTATAATGCGTCCTTCTAGGAACTTTGTGTTTTATAACGCGTCCTCCTAGGAAATTTTGTGTTTTATTATGTGTCCTTATAGAATTTTTGTTTTATTATGCGTCCTTCTAGGAAATTTTTGTTTTTTAATGCATCCTTCTAGGAAATTTGTGTTTTATAATGCATCCTTCTAGGAAATGTCTTTTATAATGCGTCCTTCTATCTCCACATCTTTCCTCATCTTCTATGAGTGCTAATAAGTGCTTGAATTTACCAAGAACTTCTTTACTGCTGGTATCTACCACATTCAGGATGGTGCAGGGTGGCCGGGCCGTGAGCCGGAGCATTTAAAGATCCACAGACAGCAGTAGCCACAAACAGCAGGTTATCATTTTATTTCTGCCCTCGGCCAAAAAAAATCTCCATCCCCAACATAGGATCAAAATCAGGCTTGCCAAATGAAAGCCGAGCACTCTAACCAAACTGCCAGCTATCAACTTTAAATGGTGGTAACTTTAAATGTGTTAAGTTGTATATGATGAGCTGTACAGCATGCATACAATTCTTCTATCAAAAAGAAGGTCAATCACGCTATAAGCTACACACACTTAACACATACATGAAAACCCCATTAACACAAATTCCAAGGGACATAAAATCTAGTGTGTATTAAAAAAAAAATGCTAACCAGGATTGTTTAATAATAATAATAATACACCCCTGGAACCAAAATTTTGTGTTCACGTTAACCGATTCTTCTTTTCACTTGAGTTCATATTAATGAGGTTTTACTGTATAAAAGGCACTGGTGCACGTCTGAAATCAGTGACTAAAGGAAATATATTTACCTTCATGCGCCAGATATCTGATGTAAGTCTCCACCCAAAACTTGTATTCTGTGGCAGATCTGAGGGCTAAACTTGAGGCTATCTGTGATTCTAAGTAGCTCAGTGTCACAGACTGTTGAGCCCCAGGGTTGGACTGGAAGGCTCTGGATGCTTGTTCACCAGACCTGAAACAGAGAGGAGTACATCACCTGATATTTCACACAAACAATTAGGGTAAACTCGTTCCTGATCTGACATTATGATTAAACTACAAAGAGAGACTTCTTTTTCTGGTGTGTTCATCAGCTGTGAACTCTGGCAGAAAGTCCTGTTTGGTCACCTGTATTACTATTCTGATCGTGTGCCAGGACTTGTGTGTTGCGTGTTATAAAACTAGCTGTTTGTGTGTGTCGACTGCTGGTTATATTTCACAGCATGATTTTTTTTCCAGCCAAGTTTTGAGAAGAGGTAAAATGGAACATGTGACCAGTAGAAAGATCTTTGGAAGGAGGGATAGAGGAAGACAACAAGAGAAGATTCTTGACAGTCTTGTTGCATGGCATGGAGGTGTGTCAGCAAATGAACTAATACATGCTGCAGGAGATAGCAGATTGTGGAGAGGAATGATCGCCCATGCCAGTCGGCAAGGCACCTGATTATGATGATGATGAGACTGCTGGTGCCTCACCTCTAGGGAAGATGTGCTCTGACTCAAGGGAGCCGTCAATCTCATCTATCATGGCTTGACCCACAGAAATTAACCTGTTTCTAGAATGACCATGCTGTCTGAGCACTAGTCCTAGTAAACCACTGCATGAAACCCTGACAGAGAAGCTGAAGATGGGGATGGAGCGTTTATGGGAATGTCCTGAGTGCTGTAATGTCAATTCTCAATTCAACATTCAACTTACCCATAACATGTCCACGCTGCAAGTTTAGACTGGCTAAACCAAGAAGCATGCATTAATTTCACAATTCTGTTTCAATGTGGGATTCAAATTTATAACCACAAGGTACTCATGCAGGTGTGCTACCTAACTGCGGCTCTCAAAACATATAGACAGATATACTGAGTTAGCCTGGTCATTCCAAGTTTCAACTTCAAATCAATTAAACGTTGACATACGTCACCCTAACTGCAGCTCCCAACAAAGTACAGATACAAACAGACATAAATACTGAGTCGCTAGCCTGGTCATAGCAAGTTTCAATTGAAAGCTGACAGATTTCAACCTACCGAGATTGTTTCTGTAAAGAAGACAAAGTTCCAAGAGGTTTTATTTTGGAAGGAGTACACTGATGGTGGCTAGAGCAAGTCTGCAATCTGTCATCATCTGAGCTGGCTAAAATCCTGAAAAATACAATGAACATGACATAACTGGTCAGAAAACATCAAATCATTCATAGTTGGTGCTGAATCCTTTGAGGAGGGGGAAAAAAGTACACCAACAGTAAACATTCTAGACCACTGTTCTTCAAGCCATAGCCTGCTGTCCCCTGGTGGGTCACAGAAGATTCCAGGTGGGCCACCAACAATTTCTGCCTAATCATGTAATGGGGTAGAATAGGTAGTTTTTCTCTTCCAAGATTGCAGCTGTGGGATTCACATCTCAAGGATGAAAATCAAACATGTAGAAATGACGGTTTCATTGAACTGCATAAAGCAGATTAAATTGGGGCATACTGTTGCCCATAAGTAGCCGCAGGTGTCACATTTGCTGAAAAATTGAAATTTTGTGACATAGGATTTAACCATGTTGAAGGTTGAATTAGGAATCAACATCAAAGCACCCGGGACACTCCCATAAGAGCTCAGTCTCCATCTTCAGCAGCAAGCAAAGAGGTCCAATTCCGATGGTACCAGTAACCGTCTGATGGTATATCCATCTCATCCTTCCCCTGAGTGTTGAGCGTCGGCCAGATCCGCTGGTAACTCTCGCAGCGCCATTCTCCTTAGACCGTAATGATCTATCTGCCTCTCAGCACTGTTCACTCACTCCTAAAGGGCCCTCACAATATCTAACTTGACATACATCAATTCACCACCAAGTGGTGCAGAGCCAGCCAATCTATCTGCTCATTTCCCACACTCATTTCAGGATTTAACTAATGAACTACTTACTATCTACATTGGTTTGTTCCTGGTGGGCCAAGGGTGTCAAGAAATTTTTTTTTTTTAATTTGAGGAAAACTATTCTAGACAAATAACACAGAGGTGACCAGTTATTTTCCTCCTTACCTCTCCTTCCAAAATTTGTTTACAGCTGTCTGGTGACCATTTTCACGAGGATGGGTCTACCGTAATCACACTGGTCAGAAAATTAATCCCGCCTCACTATTGAGGGCTGAACCCAAGTGTCTTGGCAGACAAGAACACTAGCCATTATTTTTGCTTGAATGTGTGCATGTAAAGACATTACACACTAACTTGACAAAAATTACTGAAGACTTTACAAGCAGGAAAGAAGATTTGACTGTACACTAACCTGACAACAGGAATGAAGACTTGACTATACACTAACCTGATAACAGAAATGAAGACTTGACTATACACTAACCTGATAACAGAAATGAAGACTACACATTAATCTGACATACATTCACTTACCAGCACCCTACGTCTGTAGAATAACTATAAGACTTTTTGTTCAACAATGTCACAACAGGCACACCTTCTGTGGTTAAAATTACTTGGTCGATCTTATCTTTATCTGTAAATGATAAAAAAATTTAAATTATCACCAGGCGACTGTACCACGGACCTGATTTAACAATGGAAGAAGCAAATTACATCAGCTTATTACATAACCCTACCAGACCTGAGGCCCTGAACCTAATTGCCCCCTACACCTGAGTTCCTGGGCATTAACACGAAAAAAAACCAGCATGAAATATAAAAATATTAGTTACATGCGAACAAGTGGTTAGAATGAGATGAAACTCTGAGACATTGTAGAAAATAGGTTTACCTTTCATCTAACGCCAATATTCCACCTTTGTGTGCCAATCCATCCAGCAGGATCAGCCTTGTTTCACAAAGTGAGCACCAGATGGTGATGTTTGCCCCCTTCTCTTACTTTCGATCTAGTTTTAGATCTATAATTTTCAAGATTCTTCTCAGGAGCTCTCACTGACTGTATCACTTCAACTGGGAACATATTCTTCATGAAATTCTGACTCCTCAGAAACTGAATCAACAAAAGTATCGATCAACTGTTAGACTGCGAAAAGCCTAGACCTACTTCACTTTCCTGTCTAAGTGCTTGGTTCATCAGCCGCTCGTTTTATTGTGAATTTTCAGAATTTTTTTAACGTTAAACCAAACAAAGCAAATCCAAACACACGTTGGCAGTTATTTGCAATGACTAACCATGAGGTTTGATCACGATTAGTTGGTTATTTCTAGTTTGTGGCGTGTTTATCACGTAGTACGCAAAGTACCAACAATGAGGTAGAGCAGTTTAGCGGCAGATTAGGAAATTACCACAGAAGCAGTACATTGGTCTGGTAGAGTTAAGCCAAAGCTGACTTTTTTTTTTCTAAAAACATAATCTTGTGACGCAGTAATTTAGTTTTCTAGCAAACCTGAAGTTAAATTACCCCTTTATTAAGAGATTCGGACACACACACTGACTGAAATAATGAAATGTTTTTTGACAGAACATATCTCAGGAAAACCTTATATTTATATTAAAAATATATATTATTTGCACCTTAATACTGCAGCTAACACACAAATGTGTCCCAGCACACAGTCAGGAAGCTCTAGCCATTTAGTAAATAAAGGATTCTTTCTACTGGTACATCGAGTAAATGGAGCTAAACCGATACATTTATACTCCAGCTAGGGCTCAGCAAGTGGTGAGGTCAATATCACATTTACTTTAGAGAACATTCTCTGGTGCAAGTTTTAGGCCATGTCATGAGAAAGTGAGAGAAGAGCAATGGCTATAACTATCTTCAAAAAGATGCACAAACTACAGACAGCTAGAGAAATAAGCAACATATTAAACATGAGAATCATCAAATGTTATGTATATTCAACTCTGCAGGAAGAAGGGTAGCAGGTTGAAGTGAGGAAAATCCTGCGTGGGTCAGGCTGAGGACATTATAAATCAAGTTTCTTCAACTAGGGACATAGAACCTGGTGAGGAATGGATACGAGTGCCAGCAGAGTGGGGTAAATCCTTTTCAGTCTGCATAAAGCTGGGTAGAGATTGCGGACAACAAGGTATTGAAAACTCTACTGACGGAGGTGCAGTTATGTACACTGGCGGATCCATCGTTCGACACATACACAGTTCATGGGCTTTCACGGTCCTGGTTCAAGGGAAAAGTGTAAAAGAAGATAACAGGGGTTTTTGCCTTGACTAAAAGTAGTCTGATTATGGAGGTAACAAAAGCAGTGATGTGGCCAGAGACACAGCATTTTTCCCATGCATGCTTTCTAAGTGATTCCATGAGTATGCTTAAGAAGATAGAGACAACATGGATTCGAAGAAAATGGTTGGAGTCGCTGATTAAATCTCATCTGAAAAGAATTAGTTTCATTTTTGTGCCAGGACACTTTGGGGTAAAAGGGAAAGAACGAGCAGATTAGCTTGCTGGCAGGGCAATGGTAGGTACAGGAAAAGCCATGGACAGGGCCAACATTCTCAGTGCTCTCAAGCAGGATTGAGGAGAAGATGATTCAGACGACACTGAATCGGCAACACTCAAAAGACTACAAGAACTATAGGTCAAAGGCGGTGTCGCCAAACATGAACACTATACAAGTAGGCAAAGAAGAATAGTAAACCAACAGAGAACTGGTGTTATCAGTCAAGAGCAACAGATGAGATGGTCTGGCCATCTGAAGAGAATGCCTTATTCCAAATGCCACAGACAGCCATACTCAAGAAATACAGTGGACACAGAACAAAAGGAAGACCATGCAGAACATGGAACAATGGCATCAAGATCAGCATTAAAGAAATTAAGACTAACTCATACAACACATTGAAAAGAGCACAAACAAGATCCTCAAATCTTCCCTAACACTTCAAGGAAGTAAATGGAGGAAGTAAACAAGAATAAAAAGGAGGAGAGAGTTAGAGGGAGATCAAAAGAGAAGATCTTGGACTGTCTGGCCTCATCAACAGAGTTAGAAATGACTGACAGTGTTCTTGGCAGACAAAAATTCTTACAATGCAACACAGTATGGACGATAGGAAGAAAAAATATAAACAATAAAAATGTTTGAAAATTATTTTTAAAAAAATGAAAATGAGACTAAATAATTCAACGTACCTGACATTATAGTTGCCAGAGATTCCTGCCGTACTTCAGCCTTCAGTGACTGACAATTCCTAAATATAGAAACAGTGTCCATAATAAGATTCAACAATTATAAAATTGAATATCTACAGTCCTCTTGTATTCTGATTCATTTGCACTCAGCTTACAAGAAGACATTTAAAATGACAATTGACAGTGTTAAGTACAATTTAACTGAACAAACAATTAGAATGTGCAACTCGGTCTCAGAAGATGTGGATATACAGAACAATAGTTGATATTTCATGGAAACAACAGATGATTTTTCTGTGTGGGTCCCAAGACCCATTAGGGAAAATGTGGTGGTAAAAACAAACAGACAAGAGTCACTTAGAACAGTTGTAGGCACAGTACAGTAGAACCTCGCTTAACGATCACCTCTCATAACGAGTAATTCGCATAACAAACAAAACAAACTGTAAAAGAATGACTTGCTTAACGAGCGACGTTTCGCATAACGAGTGACGAGGAGAGGGGAAGTCCTGGATTGTGCGCATGTTACATCAGTCTGTGTTTAGCACTCGTTCCAGCAGCATCATAGTGTCGCTTGTGATCACACATTTGCTCAAACTTGTGTTTTATTGTGATATATGTGCATGAATCCTCCAGGCCTACAACATGACCTCCCTGAAGAATTTAAGTTCATCAAGATCCAGTTTCTGCCTCCGAACACCACTCCGGTACTCCAGCCCATGGACCAGCAAGTTATTTCTAACTTTAAGAAGCTCTGCACTAAAGCACTCCTCGAGCATTGTTTTCAGGTGACTGAAGGGACCAACCTCACTCTCAAAGAGTTTTAGAAAAATCACTTCCACATCGTTGCCTGCCTCAAGATGATCGACAAGGCAGGGAAAGGGGTTACCAAGAGAACCCTAACTTCTGCTTGGAAGAAGCTTTGGCCAGAGAGCGTTGTCGATTTGTGACTTTGAGGAGTTCGAGACAGTACCTGTGGAACCTGTAGTCAACGAGATTGTGTCTTTGGCCACTATCATGGGATTGTAGGTGGATAACAGTGATATCGAAGAGCACAGCCAAAAGCTGACCACCGAATAGCTTATGGAGTTGCATTGTGTTTCACAGCAAGAGGTTTTGGAGGAAAGTTTGTCAGAGGAGGAAGAGGTAACAGAAAATCAACAATCTTCTGACGAAATAAGAGAAATGCTGAAAGCAACAGAAACTGTTGCATCTTACATTGAGAAGCATCACCCTAATAAGGATGTGGCTATGCGCGCTGCAAATTCATTTAATGATAATGCTGTGTCGCATTTTCGCCAAATTTTGAAGCGTCAGCCAAAAAAAAAAAGGGCTCTGGACATCTTTCTAGTAAAAAAAAATAATTAGCTGTGTATCATAATTATTTCGACTTTTTTTTTTTCCAATGCAAATCAAATTCGCTTTTCAGATTGGCTCGTACCGCGTTTGAAGAAAAGATGAAGATGATTAACTCTCCTTAACAAAATGTATATAATTTTCTTCAAATAAACGTCATACATAGCGTTTTGTTAGTTTTTTTTTTTTTTTTTTTACATGGAACGCATTGCATTATCGTATTTTACATTAATTTATATGAGAAAAATTGTTTCGCTTAACGAGTATGTTTCTGGAAGGAATTATGTTCGTTAAGCGAGGTTCCACTGTACCTGTAAATGACTGCACAGAACATCAAAGAATCAAATGGTTTAGTCATCAGGTCAGAATGGAATCAAATCAGCCAGCAGCTGGAGCGTACTACATAGAATAGCAGGTTACAACTCAAGAACTGACCGTGGAGGAAGTTAAAACAAAAAAAAAAAAAAAAAACTAGCAGAAGACAGAAAACTAAATCTAACTCATTCCTGCAATACTTTATGGCATAAACAGTAGGATGAAAGAATAACCACCAAACTGAAATTATTTAAAAAAAAAATCAACTATACAGATGAGTCGTTAAGCATTCTTTGATTTAACCAAATCTGTTTCAGACCAAATGTAACGTGTAATTTAAGTGGGTTTTTTTAAGTGTCCAGAAACCATTAGTTACCCTTTGGCTCAGTACTATGGATATCACAAACCTTCTGCCTTGATTCCATGATAGATACCGTAAATCTGGGAGGAATGTGGTTTTTCTGCCTTGCCTAACCCCCCCCCCCCAGGGCGTGAAACCGGACCACAAGGAATTCGCCGTGCAGTCCGGTTTAGCCAACTGCGCTTGCCAGCCGGGCATGTAATTCAGTTATTTCCTGCACCCGAATGACAAACCACAAGATATCAAGGACCCCCTGGGTTTGACAATTATGAGGCAGAAAAGCTGACAGGCAGCTGAGAGGCTTTCTGGCCTACTGTGACGACAGCAATGTTCTGCAAAAGACCTGCTATGTTATGATGATGCATCTTATTCAGCTCTCTGAGTCTTTGAGGTTCACTGCTGCAAATATCAACAGCCTCCATTAATCTGTGATTGGCCTTCTCTTTCCCTTTGGTGACCAAGTGTTTGTAGGTCTGCCTGTATATTATCTTTCTGCCGCCTTCTTGGTCTGCCATGTGGTCTACTCTACTCCCATTCACCTCTTTTGTGTATGCAGTAAGCCTCAATGATCATGTACAACAAATAATCATCTCCTGATGTCAGCCAATATAAACTTACCAGACATACAACACTCCTTTTGTTGTTACAACCAACACGTAGTAGCCTTTACAAGAAAAATAAGCAGGTGGTGCTCCTGCAACCAAAGCCGGTAACAGTCGTCTTCCACCGATGCTAAATACAGAGACTGTCCCGTCCAAACATGCTGCACAAATTGTGTGGCTGAGAATAAATATATTTACACATCTGTGATTTCATGGGGTTTAGGGTAAATGAATGAAGCTGACAGTGTATTCTGTGTGAATGAGGATACACAAATACAGCTAAAAACATGTACTGTGTAAATAAGTATAGGACCTTATCCCCATTTTTCTTCCATGTACTGAATCATACTGGGCAAAAGTGTTTGTGCCATATCTGTCAATGATCAGCTGGCACTCAACAGGTGATAGGTGATATGGGCATTATTGTGCCGACTGCCGTATATTCACTGAAAATGTGCTGCTTGTTGCCACATTTTCGTCTTTCCAGACAACAGCATCATATAGCACTTTGAAGAGGCATGGAACTCACAGTCCAAAGAATTTCTTTTTATTCCCCCCTCTCCATAGCACAAAGCCTGGTCAGTATTGTAAAGACCATATCTTGCCCATGCATCATGATCCCTCTTTTGACCTGCCTTGTTTACTCCAAACGAAAGATAACACCAGTGTATGTGGAACAAACAGGCCGCATAAGCTGTGGGATCAGAAGAGCAGTCCTCTATATGTCCGCCTGTCGGAGCTTTCATCCCAGACTAGCTGCCAGCCACGGCTAAAGGCCGGGTCTGCCCTGTCATAACATAAAGTTTTCAGGTTGAGTTCCTCTTCCTATGATAAGGCTAGTATCCTCTACAGTGCGCTCCTCGGCCCTGAAGTCGTTGGCAGAATATGGGATGTCAGGTTCAGAATATGCTGCCCAACATTTAGCAACAACAGAAGATAGGCAGTACTGGCTACTGTTATACTGTAGCTCAGTCATATATGACCAAGACCTGGCATGAACATTTGCTGGTATCCATTTTATACGCTGGGAAGACCTGATCGTTCAGGTAAATTTCCAGTCCAGCCTGACAGGGATTCAAACCTAGTTGTGCTTGAAATGGGAAATGGCAGTACTGTTGCTCCCATACAGTGTATGTCTAAGGTTACGTATATGTGACCAACAACATGCATTATCTAGAGAATTATAAATAAGCATAGCTAACAACACCCACTATATGGATTTTTAACAAATGCAGTCAATCACTACATATACTGTACTGACGAGGATAAATATTTTCAGTTTACATATACTGTGTGGATGAGAATAAATTCTTTTAGCTAATACAATATACTATAGGGGTAAAGATAAATAAATGTAGCTAACATTTACTGTATTGATACGGATAAATAGATGTTGCTAACTTTTACTGTACTGATAAGGATAAATAAATAAAGCTAACATCTAACTTACTGACATGGATAAACAAAGCAAACAGCTACAGTGTGGATGAAATTAAATAAATATAGCTACTAACATTATAAACATTTATAATATACTCCATTTTCCATAAAGTTGGCTTCTAAATTCATGTGACCATATTTCCTGAAAACAAAAAATCAAATACAGAGGTTCAGAAGAAAGTGGGAATGAAAAGAAAGTTACTGAAATAAACAAAAACAGAGGCAACTTAAATATCCTGGTAACATAAAAAGATATAGTACTTTTTAAAACCATACTGGAGGGAAATGTTGGAGGCAATCGAGCAAGAGGTAGAAAGTGATTTAAATGATGTCAGTGGGAGGACTCCGTCAAAAGCCTCAAAAGTGTACAGCAATGAGCAGAAAAGGAGATCCATTGCAGCCAATTTGTACTGTGGAAATGGCATCTGACTGATATTCATATAAAAAAAAAATTATCAGAAACAAGACACAGTGAAAAGCAACTGTTTGAGATAACCTAAACAAAGACAATCTGAATTTAAAAAGCCTGACTTACTTTGATCCCGCTACAGCACTAATCTTTGATGTCAACATATGATCCCACATGACCTTAGCCCCACGCAAACAACGCAACCTATGAACCCTGATCATGCCGAGTTCAAGGTTATTTTCAACATCCACCACAAGGGAATTGGCATCTCCCATTTGACCTTGGATCTGAAAAGTTCAAATAAAGTTATAAAGAAACAGCAAATTCTTTAAACAGAAAAAACAAACAAGTCTTGACAAACACAAGCCATAACAGTAGTCTTACAATTAAGTAATGAGACTGATTTTATTATGGCCAAGACAAAAATGCCATCTATGAAGCAAAGCATGGAATCTAAACAGGCAACATTTATCTATGATTGGACAACTTGTCATCGCCGCTCGATAATCAAACAAACAAGTTTCAATTTTGTTAACCTAGTCGGTGCATTGTTACGTAATCAGCATGGAGCAAAAAGCTTACATTAAATTTATTTTAAAACTCAGAAAAAGTGACACTCAAACAGTTGAATTGATGCCTTAAATTTATGGTGATAATGCACAAGAGTCTTACTTTGAATAAAATACAGGTTATATCTTCAACTGTTGATTATTTTAATTTTTATGGAATTAGTCTCATTACTTAATTGTCGGACCTTGTATATATTAAAATGAATTACTAATGAAGACAGACAGACAGACTTGGGGTCTCTGTGGCAAAGCCGTTTGCCTCGTGCTCTGAAGGTCATGGGTTAGCTTCATGACTGCCCCGTTCAGTTCATGAGTGCAATTGTTACGAAGATCCCTGGGGATCATCACCACAGCTATGGAGTTTGTGCTCTGTTCGATGCTCTCGGCGGGCAGCTAGCCCTTTTCTGGAGAGACACTGAGCCATACATGATAAAACCTGTGCAATGAAGTCGATCCTCTCGACTTTAACTCCACACGGTCAGACTAGCTAGTTCTGCACCAATGGGTGGTGAATCCACGCACGAGAAGTTTAACGTGGTCAAAGCCCTTTGAGATCAAGTAAACAATGTGGAGGCACGAAAATAAAATAATGCTCTGGAGAGAACGGTACAGCTAGGAGTGACCAGGGAATCTGGTTGATGATCTACACTCAGAGGAAAAGGCAAGAGAAACATATAACTAAAAAGAAACGCATAATCAAAGTGTTACTGGCATCATTAGACCGGGAACTCTTCACTGGCTGCTGAAGATGCGGAAAAAGCATTTATGGGAATTTCCAGAGTGCTGTGATGTCAAGTCTTAGAGCAACACTTAAAATTAATTGTATACAACTTCAAGAACTCACTGAGCTAGAGCATGTTTAACATAAGCAGCGGTTAGGTTTGAGGTTCAGATATTCCACACTATGCTCGTGGTAGTATTTTTAACAACAGAATATCAAAATTTTAGACAGACTGAAAAGGAAAAAAGCATATTAGCAACAGTGTTGCCTAGCTTATATTCACTAAACACCAGCTAAAATGTTTTCCTGAATATAAAACCTCCTCAAAAATCAGTCCTAGCATGATTTTCCAGGATGTTTTTAATATATACCTCAAAAAAAAAAACAGCTCTTGGTAAAACTGTTAACCAGAATACATGAATACCAAATAAATCATATGCAGCTGAATCAAACTGTTGGAATTATAAAACTGCTTTTATAAACACTAAGCCAAAGATGCCGACCTTAACTCTTTGAGTCCCAGGGAGCGCACCACGCGATAATTGGTTACAACCTAGCGACCCAATCGACCGACGCGTGACAAGTGAAGGTTTTTAATTTACCGCTGACTAAAATAAAACACAGACCGCTCAATTGCAACTTCCTTTTGAGTTCTTTGTGTCTGATATCAGGCGTGCTCATTGATAAACCTGGTTTAAAAGCCAAAAATATAGTATATTTACAAGGTTTGCCGAGTTACTAAGCGTTCGTTTGAAAACAATATGGCCACCGAGCAGTATTCTACATGCATACCAACACAATTTACGGCTTTAGAAGAATCAAATTTAATTATATATCACGCATTTATTAGATTTATCCGAAGTTAGATAGATACAGTTGCGAAGTAGATGTGTTTCAGTCACTTATAGAGTCAAACTTTGATGAGGGATAGGTCCAATGTGTACCTCACGTGAAGGGTAAAACGACAGAAAGTCAGCTGACACAAACAGAAAAAATACTAGTGAAAAGGCGATTTTTCTTCTGTGTCAGTTATATCTAGCGCTGTTCAACTTATTATTTAGGAACATGGCTACAAAATTACAGGCAAATTAAGTGTTATACAAACTATGTTTTGTGTGAAGATAATAACTTTTTTTGGGAAAGTCAGTTTTCTTTTTCAAATAATGGGGCTCTGTTATGATGCTTCAAAAGATTCTCTGGAACATTATCTAATGCACAGATTGATTTTATATTTGACTTACACATTGCTAAGTGGTTCATATTCCTTTGTGATTCAGTTTGGATACATTTTAGCGAGTTTTCTTTGAGTGGCGTGGTGGTTAAAAGAAATTTATAGAATTTCATGTTACTAATTTATGTAAACATACCGTTTTTTTTAAACTAATATTTAATTATCAACGCAATTATTGTTTATTGCAGTATTCTTTTATTATTCCCTAACAATTCCTGGTCACTTTGATGTATAATATGTGTATGCTGCATGGCAGCTGAATTAGTATTGTCTGTTTTAATGTGTTACACTTGTGAAATTAACTAATTGCATTAACACTCCTTGGACCTCTGATGCTAAACCCCCCTGGGACTCAAAGAGTTAAGAGAATGGAATGGGTGAATTTCGTAAACATAATTATTATTGAGAATAAAGGAATAATAACTGTGCAGGCAAAAACACCAACACCACAAGGCATGACAATGATGATGATAACAAACAAATGCATACCACTCTGGACAAAGAGTTTTCAACTGTCAAGGCTGGAAGCTGCAAATCTGGTGCAGCATAGACCGGCCTGGACTCCTTTTGCTGAAACCACAAGTATCAACAGTAATATCATCATCTGCTGTTAACAAAAAAGTAAAGGTCCCTTCTCCACACCTTTTAGGCGTGTAGGGCTTACAGAGCTAGACCTATATTTTTATAGACCAATCGGCACAAGGTGGGTGATTTGGTCAGCATCACACCGGCCGTCTCTTCTTCCCAGAACTGCACCCGGTACCCACTCAAGGCTGGGTCGACCTGGGTGCCAAGGTCGTTTTTGGAAAAAAAAGTCCGGCTCCATCGGCTGTTAGCTTACTAATAAGGGACAGACATAATACAAACTAAACTTTTACAAGGGGTCTCTGTGGCAAAGTCATCAAGCTGCTTTCCTTGCACTCTGAAGGTTATGAGTTTGCTTCACATCTGTGTCATTCAGTTGATGCTGGCAATTTGTACAGATCCCTGGGTGTCGTTATTGGAGCTACAGTACATGCTTTGTGTGACGCTCTTAGCAGGTGGCTAGCAATTCTGCGGAGAGAGACTGAGCCTTATGGGATAAAAGTCAGTGCAATGGAGTTGACTCGCTTGACTTTAACTTGTATACTTTTACCATATTTATTAGAAGTAATCCATCGTATTCTTGACTACATTCATTGTATTCTTTCCTAAATTCATTGTTTTCTTTACTAAATCCATTGTTTACTAAAGTTATAGTTCTCCTTCAGACATTCATTTCCCCTAATTTATAAGGGGGAAAAAAGGCTGCGAGGAACTGGTGCTAAGTCACTCTATCCTTCGCAGCTGAGCCCACTCCTCCTTATCTATTTCATTTCACTCTCTAATTCTCTCCTCCATGAGTGTGTGTGTGTGTAGGGGTGGGTGGGGTCTGTACTTCTACAACAATGTAGGTTCAAGTGGAAGGAAATGTTCATTATACTGTTATAAGGTTTTCTCTGTGTTTTTTTATTCAGTGCCCGCACCTTCTCCTTGCCTAGTTATTCACTGGAATTTGTTTTGTTTTCTGGTTACCTGAGAGATATATGGTAATTATACAACAGCTATAAATACCATAAGGATATGAAACTTGTAAACGAGTGTATACAAAGAAGACTGAAACATTATGAGGGGACTTGAAAAAAAACAACCTTAAAAGTGTGACATAACTGACAATAACCAAGCTAATCTTGTAACCTGTCGATAATGTTAAGGATGTCAAGAGTGTTAAGCACAGTGCAGATAAACATGCTGAATCATAATGACAGCTTAAAGATGCCCCCCACCCCCCTCCCCCAACTTTTAAGATGCATCAAACAAAGAAAAGCAGCAATTTTTTTCGATCAGTGAAAAGGTAAACCTATAGAAATTCACTGGCATTTGAAGATCCACTACAGTGAACATACTGTCAGTCCATCAGTTCAGCAACAGTACGCTCATAAATTCTTAGGCTTGGACATGAAAAAGAGGACTCTTAAAGCAGTCAGTACATTCTTATTCTTCTTCATCTTCTGCTGCATGTACCTTTAAAAGGACAGGTGGCAGGCTGTGTTGTGGTTTATAGCCTTTACAACATATTACATTTTAGGAAACTCTTAGTATGTTGGCTTTTTAAGTCATGCCTGTGTATAGAACAGTGTGTTCTTTCTTTCTTTTTTCCTCCAAACTTCAGAACCCACATAGAGTTTATACACTAAATGTTATTGCCAGCCTCCTTCTGACCTCTTCTACTTTATCGTTTGTCCAAGAGGCGCTTATGTGTCTGCAGGTTAGCTGCGACATAACACCTTTCGGCTGACACAGGTTTGCCTCCCCAGTTAGTTTCATGGGATATTTGTAGCCTCATATGTGTGACGACTTCATCATTCCCTGATCAACATGTGTTTTGCCTAGAGAACCTGTTCTGACCTTTTTATAGTCTCCATTGTTTCTAATTGTGGAGTCAAGGTACTGAAAGATTGGGGTCAAGGTACTGAAAGATTTTGACAATGCCAATGCCTTCTTCTCCCATTTTAATTTTAAATTGACATGTGGCTTTATCACTGTTCATGAGGCAACATGATCGCAGTTGTGGAGAGGCATGATCACCTTTGGGAAGGCACTTGAAGATGATGATTAATGCATCTGACCAGATAAGATCAATGTGGCAGGCAATAAATGATGCAATATATTGTTAGTGTGCAGATTTGTTTACAAAACTGCCATAGGCTCCCACCTTGATCCAGCCTTAAATAACAATGTCCTGGAAAGTAAAGGCCGCTGGCATGATGCCAACCACATTACCCATCAACAACCAACTGGTCTACAATAATGAAAGTCTAACACTATTTGCCTGATGCGCCACAGATGTGAAAAGGGTCCTTTACTTACTCATTTTGTTGGCGTCCTCACATTTCAAATTCATAAAAGGAAAACAATGTTATTGAATTTCTGTTTCTGTTTTATGTTTTCTGGAGACTCATACAAAGTAAACAGGGAAGGCTAACCCAGTCAACAGATGCCCAAACGAGTCAGATGTGATGGACTAAAAGTGCAAATATTGCAACTCTGCTATAAACAGGCCTAAGGCAATGAAATCTAAAACAAAAATTGACACAAGAAGAAGAAGAAAAAGTAGACTGTAGACCCCTAAAACTTCTACAACCATAAAGGTAATTGCGAGGGCAACTCAGCAACCATAAAAGTAAGTAACTGACCCTTTTCAAACTTCTGGAGCATTGAGAATATGGTACCAGACTCATATTATTATAGAATAATCTGCACTTGACCAGGTGATACGGCAATGAGGCCTTTAGAAATTCCCAGGACATTCCCTGGTACCAATTATAGGCTAGGTTGACCTAGGAGCACAGGTCAAGAAATTCTACCTCTGCATATTTGAATAACCATTATCATCAGCACATCCTTTGCAGAACTTCATTCTTATTTTGGCATGCCAAAAAGCCACTTGATCCCTACCAACTTTCCAGCGTTTTGAACTTTCATGCCCAGGGTATCCTTGATATCCTGTTTCTACCATCATGCGGGTCATCCCCTGCCTCTACTTCAGGCAACCATACTATCCATTTCTGTTTTCTACAAACCACTACAGCATTTAAAATGGCTGAAGTATTCCAGTTTATACTAGAAACAATCCTGTTTATGAGCCAGATTCTCTTGTTATCAGCTTGACCCAGCCTTAAATGGGTACCGGGTAAAGTCCTGGGAGGGTAAAGGTGGCCGGTGCGATGCTGACCACATATCCGACAGAGTGTTGACTGGTCAATAAAATGTAGGTATAGCACTGTCGTGGCTGAACGCGCTTCGTAATGCTGGGGTGTCAGTTTTGATCCTAACTGCAGGCGATTTTTCATCTTGCATTGGTTTTAACAGTGCTATCGAGAGCCGACTGTCCAGAAAGCAATGACAAACTACTACACGTAAAATTTGCTTAGAGAAACCAAACAGCCCATAAAAAAACTGGGGTTGGTTCTGCAAAGGATAAACAACTAAGTTTAACTATACCCTTTGTAAAGTTTCAGTGTGGCTCGCTGTGGCAGATAGTACCAGGGCATTTTTGTTAGGTGTCCAAACTACTTTATTTGTTGTTCTTTGATGACCTGTAAGACTAGCCTTATTCCTAGCATTCGTCTGATTTTGTATTCTGTCTTTCCTTGAAACTCCTGCAGCTCTTCTAAGGCATTTCATCTCTGTTGTCACAATTTTACGTTCATTAGAGGATGTAAGGATGTAACTAGCACTATATGCCCAATATGTCTGAAGGCCTGAAAACGGAGTCTTTCTCAAATCCAGATCAGTAAGAATGTCTGTACATTTTTTCTTCTGCATCCATGATACACGAAGAATTGTCCTGTAACATTTAACGTTACAATTGTTTTCTCTAATAACATTCTACAACAAATGACAACGTGCATGCTATCCTGAGCACACTTACTAAGGCAGGTGCCACCAGCCCTGGAGTCAGTGACACTTGAGGTGCTGTGATGTCAGGCCGAGAAATGCTGCCCACCACTTCAGCAGCAGCTGCTGCCATTGCTGCTTCTCGAGCTGCCTGGTCAGTCTTGCTGGGCCGGCCACGTTTCCCATGTCTATTGCAATAGCAACAGCAATTATTAAGTGCACCACAAAAAAGTTTAACACTACATTAGTAATAATTCTACTAATTACTGATTTAACCCTGTCCCCCTGGTGACCTAGAAAAAAAAAATGAGGGGGAAAAACTAACAAAGCAAAGCCACTGTACTTTTAATTTTTAAGACAAATGGAGTGTCCTAGGCAATCATGTGAGTGACCATATGTCATGCTCATCTTGATTTCTAAAACTAGCAAGATTAGGACTGTGAAAATACGCAAGACTTTTAAATATGAGAAGGACAGTACCCTTCTTAGATGCCTTCGACAGAAGGTGTGCAGCAAAACCTACATCTCTGCTTTTGTGCAGCCTCAATCATGGACCCAAGAAGTAAAACAGGTATGAACAGCAAAGCAAGCAGCAGTTAAGACAGATGTAGAGAGGCTAGAAAGAGTAAGAAAAGAAAAGAATAGAAGAGTTCAAGTGGTATGCAGCAGATGCAAAGAAGGCTATATGGGAATATTTTATGATCAAAACTGGAGGGGATAGATCACTGGGTAGGTTTTAGAGACTTCAGAGACAGATGCAAAGGAAGGATCGGCCTGTCCCAACTAATAATGATATACCAATGAAAACAGACAAAGAGAAAGGGGAAGCATTTTTGAAGAGGTTTATAGCCCAAACTGATCATAATGATAAGGAGCTTAGAAATTCAGTTAGAGTGATCTGTCTATAAATGATAATTATTTTGAGGATATCATTAAGGTGGATGATGTAAAACATGTATCTCAAAAAGCAAAGGACACTGCGTCAGGGCCAGACGGAGTCAGGTATGCCACATGAAGAGCATGAATGATGAAGACTTGAGGAAGATGGCTTTTTACTTTGACCAAAGTATCAGAAGAGCTTCAGTACCCCAGGAATGGCACACAGCTACCTAATCCCTCTTCCAAATCTAAGCAAAAATCATTCCAGACTCAGCAGTTTCAGGATTATCACCCTACAAAATACTTTTGGCAAAGTGCTAGCGAAGAATATTGCTGTCAAACTACAAATGTTTTTGGAAAGGAAAGAGCTTCTGCCAAAAGGTGTGGGTAGTTACCCGCCAAGGAAAGATACCTGGTCAAAGCAGCTACTTTTGCTTTTGATGTTTGTTTATGAGGGCTTCCAGAACAGACAGGAGACAGTTGTGGCAGAACTTGATCTTGAGGATGCCTACAATAGAGTTAAATATATTTTGATTCCTGCACTCATGGAGAAGGGGGTTTATCCGGGGTTTGTGAACTGGAGAGCAGCTGTCCAGCATTCATGTATGGCTGCCCTTTGCCTGGGTACATGGACCTCAGAACCATGTAATATCATCCTGGGGACTACTCCAGGGTTCTGCAATTTCACCAGTGCATTTTACTGTGTATACAAGCAAAACTGCAGAACTTGAATCACCAGGTGTTGGAAGAATATTGACATTTACCGATGATAATCTTGCATATAGGCAGGGGAGAGATAGGCGACGGACAGCCTACAGGCAAAGTGACTGACTGGTGTGCATAAATGGGTGCTCTCATCAACTCAGAAAAGGCTCTGTGGTGCTCTCTGGACAATAGAATTGTAAAAGCTAATGTTCCAAACCTCACAGTTAATGACAGTATCATCAAAAGAGAAAGTAAACTGAGGCACCTGGGTATAATTTTCAACAGAAGCTTGTCCTTCAGGGATGTGTGGAGGCAGTTGCGGTGAAATGCCAAAAAGGACTCAATGCTCTCAAGATTTGTATGGAACAAAGAATGCTGTTCACAGTGTTCCAGCATGTGATCCGGTCAGGTGATAGATTATGGACTTGGCATGCTTACCATATCAAAGAGTCAGCTGATGAAACTTGAACGCAGACAGAAAGAAGCCATGCAGGTAATTCTAGGATGTACTAGAGATACCCCAGTAGTACGTATGGGATATATACTTGCACTGCCTACTATTGCAGATAGGCTCAAAGTTCTGCAAGCAAGGTCACTTTTAAAAGACTGAAATGAGGAAAGTGATAGACGGCGCAAGCTGAAGACACAATTGGACATAAGTGCAGTCTTGATAAATTTAGGCTAGGAGAGGAGTGGGTCAAAGTGTCCGATCAGGTTTCAGACTTATGTATGGTTCTAATAATATGGGATGTGAGTGCATGGACTGGCCAGCTGGTGCTGCAGAATCAGAAGTTCAACAAATGATTCATGACAATTACCGCCCAGGTGATGTGATTGTCTATACGGATGGCTCTGTGTTGAGGGGCAGACAAAGTGCATGGGGGCTTATAGCAAAATGGACCTCGTTTGGTGCAACAAAGCCAGGCATATGATATCACAAAGACTAGTTTGAGAATGGAGGTGGAGGCAGACACTGCTGCCTTCAGCTGGCTTGATATTCAGCTGTACATACATGCCGGCATTGTGAAGGTCCAGGGTAGTTAGCATCCTTTGGATATTTTCTCCAGGTGATGCCATGTGTTGGGAAATGAGCAGGCAGATAGACTGGCTGGTTCTGCACCACTTGGTGGTAGGACAAGCTAGATTGTGTGAGGGCCCTTTGGGAGTGAGTGAACAGTGCCGAGGCACAGATAGATCATTACGGTGTTAGGAGAATGGCACTGCAAGGAGTTACAAGGGGATCTGGCCGACGCTCGACACTTATTAGAAAGGCAAGACAGATATAAAATCTGGATCTGAATTTTAGCTCTTTGCTTGCTGCTGAAGATGGGGATGGGGCGCTTATGGGGGTGTCCTGAGTGCTGTAATATCGATTCTTAATTCAACATTCAGATATTCCCTCCAAAAAAATCCTCTTAAAAAAGGGGGGAAAAACCATTTTACAAATTAAACCAATTGCAAAAAAATAATAATATATACATATAATAAAAAAGATTATAATAAAAAAAGAACTAAAGAGCAAACAGAAGTGCTTATACCTTTTGTCATCTGCATACTTCCGTTTCAGACTCAAACTTCCAGAAGACAGCCGAGCCTTCAGTTTGTCTTTGTGAACCGATGATTCCTTCACTGTCTCTTTGTCCTTCTCCTTGTCTTTATTATCTTTGTCTGATTGTTTTAGTTTGTCTGATACGGCAGGGGGCTGAGGGGATTTCTCACACTGTTCAGAAGACGTTGGTTTGTCCGGTCTGTAGAGGAAAACGTTTCAAAATTTAAAAAAACATGTTTCTTCTCACCATTTGGTTTCTGCAGCTCCATTCGGAGTGGGGTGTGGGATACACCTACTGCCATCTTAACACGTAACTAATTATTGACTTGCTGAAATAGGATGTGTTAGGCTAAAAGATGAAGATATCGCAGCCTTGCTGTAAACAACAAAACAATGTCCCAACCATCCTTGTCAGGGCAAACGCAGAAGATGAAGTAAAATGTTTTCAGCGCTGACAATATCTTTCTGAAGAGACAAAAAACACAAACATTTAACTTGCTTTAAACATTTGAAACATGCAAACTATAAATGAAGCAAAATAAACCTATTCTTCAGCGATATAACATAAACTTTACTACCCTTATGTCTGACCGTAAACCTCTACATAAAAATCCTCTTTTCAAACCATAATGATCAGTCGTCTAAAGATAATAAAACTATACCCAATTACAAAAGCATAGTAATTTCTCCTCTTTCCAATCAAGAACATGCAAAAACCATATTAATCTATCTTACAGAGATGATGTCTTTCCGCCTAATAAAAAAAAGCAAACTAACCTCTCTTAAAAAGATATCTTTTCCTCCTATATAAAACCAAACCAACCACGCCTGTAAAGATTATATCTTTCCACCCAAGAATAAAAACCAAATAATCTCTTATAAAGATGATATCTTTCCATTCAATAAGCTGACAATACTAACCCTGCTTAAAAAAAAAAAAAACTATACTAATCTCTCTTGTAAAGATTATATCTTTTCACCCAAGAATAAAAACTAAATAATCTCTTATAAAGATGGTATCTTTCCATCCAATAATAAAACCATACTTACCCTGCCTATAAAGATAACAACTATACTAATCTCTCTTGTAAAGATGATATCTTTCCATCCAATAATAAAACCATACTAACCCTGCCTATAAAGATAACAACTATACTAATCTCTCTTGTAAAGATGATATCTTTCCACCCAAGAATAAAAACCAAATAATCTCTTATAAATATGATATCTTTCCATCCAATAACCTGACCATACTAACCCTGCCTATAAAGACAACAACTATACTAATCTCTCTTGTAAAGATTATATCTTTCCACCCAAGAATAAAAACCAAAAAATCTCTTAAAAAGATGGTATCTTTCCATTAAATAATAAAACCATACTAACCCTGCCTAAAAAAATAACAACTATACTAATCTCTCTTGTTAAGATTTTATCTTTCCACCCAAGAATAAAAACCAAATAATCTCTTATAAACATGATATCTTTTCATCCAATAATCCAAGAATCTAACCCTGTCATGCCTCAGACAACAAATTCTGCTTCTGGTGTGGGTTCCGGGGCCCCACTGTGAGGGAAAACCAGAACAGACCCACTAACCCCCCCCCCACCAAGAACGCTGTAGGAGTCCACTAATTACACGATTCCTTCAAAGTCAGAGTGCATCTGCCTGAGAGACAAGGAACCAGCAGTCTGCACAGAATTTGGCCAGATCTGTAAAATGGGTGCACATGCAAAACCCAGGTGCCTGAACACAGCCAAAGTCTAGAAATGGACGAACAACCAGAACTTCCTGCCTGGGTTTACAGCAAACAACTAGACCTGTACACAAGTCATGCCTAAAACAACAAGTTCCACTTCCCTAGATATGTATAAGTCTTACGTGATAGGAGGATTCTCCATCTGTATCTTGTTGACAAGTTTCTCTGGCGTAGTTTCATTGATGGATTTCATGGCCTGAAGATGAAAACAAGAACTGTCACCAAATAAAAAAAAAGCCAATTTAATTCTTCTGCTTGGTTACTGTAATGTTGTGAATTCCCGGGGAAATCCCAGAGAGTTCCCGATGGGGAGGACAAGGTCAGAGGACCAGTGATACAAGATAAAAACGAGATTAGTGGGTCTCGAATATCCCGTGGTGAGTTAAATAAGGGATACAAGAAAAGCATAGGACTGGAACGGAAGACGTGAACCGAGAGACGGGAGTAAGACAGTTGAAATTCAGACCTGTTTGCGAGAGGTCGTATGAGTGAACACCTGAGGAGAATGGAGGAACTGTGAATACTTGAAATGTTTCGAGGGAAGATATGAATGTTTCCTACATTTACTAATACCAGGTACAAGGCTTTGCTAGAGGATGGATGTGTGATTCGAAAGACGCTGATGGATGAAAACAGTGTGTGAGAGGATCGACCAGGCCGTCAGAAATCACCCAAGCAGAACGAACACGAGGACGACAGAATGCGAGCCTGTGATATGTTGTGATTCAGCGAATAAAAGTATACAACTGAACATTCGTCCCTGCTGTGTAGTAGCAACTCAAAGTTTGTCATATAGCAATGTGGCGTGAAAGAACACACCCCTAGCAGAGCACATTGCAGTTACCTCCTTTAAAAGCTGTTGTGGTTTACGGCTAGACTATGATATGTGTGTCTTTCTTTCACACATCCAATTTCAGCAAATGATTAATCCTTTAATTGCTTTTCCTTGATGACTTACCTGCTGTGGGGCACTGTGTTCTACTTTCAGTTTAATCTATTCTTTTTAACTATTGAAGCGATGGAAACATCTCATACATAGCATATTCATCTAAACATGCTACCACTGCCAGACAAGGTGACTCACAACTCAGGAATGATAACTAGTAACCACAGAAATGAGGTCTGGGAAAGGTGTGGGTTGGGGGATAAAGTCTTTTTAAAAAAATTTCAGAACGAATATCCAATTTAAAGATTACACATGCAAAATATTTGCTTACTTAAAAAGAATGCTTTGTGATGTCACAGCATTCAAGGCATCAACCAGATCAAAGATAGGGACAATGAGCCCAAGAACTGGATTTAAAGATAACACAAAAAATTTTTACCAGAACCCTGTATCTTCAAGAACCCGAACCCTGTATCTTCTTTGACATCATCGAAAGTGGTGGCAAAGGAAGAGAAGAAGAAGAGGACAAAGGAAAAAAAAGAAGAAAAAGAAGAATGGTAAACAAAAGAAGCAGCACAAAACTATACCTGACTGTCTTTAGTACACATTGCAGACAAATCTCTGACAGCTGATGAGACAGGAAGTGCTGTCTGTGGCGGAGATGGCATCGACTTTGATCCAGAAGTTGGGGACAACATACCAGGTGCAGTAACTCTGTTCTGCTTTTCCACAACAATCTTGCTCTTTTCAGATGAAGAGTGAAATCCAATAGAGAAGGGTACTGGAACTTCTCTGTTGAAATAAACAAAATCATGAAAGAAAAAAATTATCAGCAAGGCATCATGTTCATCACAATTGTTAAACTGAAATAAAAGGGAAGGTTACAGAAGCTGAGGACTGAGCATGGACTAGGACTTTCGGTGGACAGGACCTTGAATTTGGATCACTCTCTTTAAATACAACCTATCCAGACTAACAATTACATAGCCTGCAGATAAAACCTGCTGAAGCCCGCCTTAAAGGTCAAGATATTATAAACAACTTATGGGAACAATCAGTATAGATACCACTGGTGGCTTCTGCATCAGATGACTGAACATCCATAGTAGTGCCTAATGTGCTGCAATGTATATAGTGATAACATAATACATAACAAATCAACAATCTCAGTCATTTGCAAACTATACCTTTTAATTAAAAACTGAAGAAAAAAAAATGAAAAAAAAAACAACCCTACTAAGGCAACATCAGATAATTATTTGTATTTGTCTATTTTTTTTAAACAGTTTATTATTTTGTTCTCAGACTACACACAGGAAAATTCTCCTCCAAAAGAAGACATGGCTCTGATGCTTTTAAAATAGAGAGAGAGAGAGAGAGAGAGAGAGAGAGAGAGAGAGAGAGAGAGAGAGAGAGAGAGAGAGAGAGAGAAAGAGAGAGAGAGAGAGAGAAAGAGAGAGAATACAAAATTAATGGGAAGCTGTGGGTCCTTGAATAAAAAAAAGCATCATTTAGAATAACCACAAATGAAAGAGAACATGTTAGTAATAAAGTGTTATGCGCCAAACAATAAGGATGAATCAGATAAGGAGGAATTCACTTCAAAATGATATAAGTTATGAAAGTCAGGTAAGGAGGAATTCACTTCAAAATGCTATAAGTAATGAAAGTCAGTTGAGGAGGAATTCACTTCAAAATGTTATAAGTAATGAAAGTCAGTTGAGGAGGAATTCACTCCAAATTTTATAAGTAATGAAAGTCAGTTAAGGAGGCAGTCACTCCAAAATGTTATAAGTAATTAAAGTCAGTTAAGGGGGAATTCACTCCAAAATGTTATAAGTAATGAAATTAGCTCTCTTCGTAAGTTATATCTCTCCAGACATCACTATTACATTTTAAAATCTGATTATGATTAATGACAGAAATAATACGTACCCAAACTCTGGTTGTGGGGCCAGGAATATTGGAGTAATTCGTCTCCGCCCATCTGCTGTCCTGGTCTCTATCTGTTTGTCTGTTGGCTGAAAATATGTTGACAGAAAATTGAAAAGTCTATCCATATACGGAAGAGAAGAAAATAGTTAGAAGGACAAGGAAAACATAACGAACAGCAGAATAGGGCAGTATCAGCTGGATGACAGGAGAATATATATAGTAAAATAAAGATCTTTGCTGTGGAACCTACAGGGGCATAGAAATAAAGGCAGATCCAAAACAAAACAAACCACACATGGTGAAGGGAATAAAAGAACAGAGTTAAAAATATAAGGATGATATGGAAGGATCTGCATGCAATAGCAAAGATAGGACAACTTGGCGTGAGTTGGCAATGAGGGCCTATGCTCTACTGGGGAATAAAAGGGCAGGAGGAGGAGAAATAGAAAAAGAAAATAAAGATCAGTCATGGAATTGTCCATGGGCTACGTATGTGTAAGTATAGCTTTTACTGTCAACATTAATTATTATTCTTAGTCCATGCGGTGTGGTGTTGGTAGTAATGTCTATCCACAACCTTCTGTCTTGTGGTCTTTCAAACATTTTTAATCCTCTATGCCATGATGTGGAACTGTTGAGCATTTTCTCTCTCGATCTTCTTCCGCCTCATTTCCCCTCCAACCTTCCCACTGTCACAATGTACTCCAGTTTTCTTGATATTACCCACACACAAATGTAGAGTGTCTCCTTCTGATGTATGTGATCAGTTCTATTTGTGAGTCACTTTCTTTCAAAATATCTTGATTTCTATTTTTATTTGTCCAGGGTGTTTTCATTATTCATCTATAAAACAATATTTCTGCCACTTCCACATAATGTATGCACATGGTGAACAACCTGTGACATACCAATGATAGCTCTCTCATTGAATATAAAATGTAATGACAAGAAATGTCACATTTAATTTAACAGAAAGTCAAAACAAAGATCTCAGTTTAAACATTTAGCAAATAAAAATAACAATCAAAAATAAAAATACCCTCCAGAATACAACAATATAATGAATTTTACTAATGTGAAGTAAGCCACTCCGCCCATGTTCTTTTTTGTTCTTAGTAACACAAAAATGAAAGATGTATTAAGGAATTAAACATAAAATAACCCAAATAATAAAAGCCACAATTAACTGGCTGCAAAATATTCTACGTAAGATAACTTTGTCAATTTAAGTGAGAAAGTTTCAAATGCTACAAAGGCACAAAGGACTCAAAAATGTAAAAACATATACCTAACAAGATTCAAACATTACCAAGACAACTGTATGACTCACAGGTACTAAAACTTACTTTAAAAGGCACATTGTCTCCACTAGCAGACATTTTGGTTGACATGTTGCTGTTCCCCTTGCTTGGAGTCAACATGATGGCTTCGTTGGCTCTAGTCTTCTGTTGCTGCTGGAGGTTCAGCATTGCTGTAGACTCAATGATCTGACTCCCTTTGGTGGCTGCCAGGTGAAGGGAGGTGCCCTTGCCATAAATGTCTTCCAGTAAGTTTACCTGCAAACAGATTTTGCAGATTTTGACAGAGACATCAAAAACCCAACACAGAGCTGAATACAAACATTCTCTAAAATATATCCAGTCACAAAACAGCACACTGAACAAGAATTACCAAATATATATCCACCTACATAACGCACCACTGAACATAAGAATTCCCTAAAAGATATTCACCAACATAGGGACTCTACACAGGTGTTGTTCCATATTGCTCTGTTGTGTAATAAATTCTCAGCTTAAAGATAGATTTTGTGTAAGCATCAATTCAGGAAAAGTCAACTTCTTCTCTGTTTTCAAGTTAGTTTGCATCCACTGTCAGCAACAGAAACATACTTGCTGCTAGAGCAGCTCATATGTTTACTGACATCTTTCTTAAACTGGCTTCAGGTTTTTTCTGTAAGAAAAGTGTCCCTTCCACAATTTTGTAAAGATCTAGAACACTATGGTACAGAATCACTGACTGCCAAAATTCCAGTGATGCTAGGAACAAGTATGTAGCTGCATTGCATTCCAAATTTTCTGTAAAGTTAACAACACTCTGGAAGACTTTTCTTTGCTTGACCGACCGACCGACTTTCTACCCCACCAGAACATCACACAAGCAATAAACACCCGATGATACAATGTGCCACCATCTGAGTGAGGATCAACGTGGAGAGGTCCCAGAAACTGCGCTCAACCTTTAGGCCATATTTATGGCCAGGCTATATTGCGGCCCCTGGCAAAAGCCAGAGTAGGGCTTCAAATAACGAAAAATTTCATCCTAATAAGGACGTATTTATTAAAAAGTATTTATTTTCTTTGCTCACGAGCATTTGCCAGTTGTAGACTTTGAGATTTCTTACACTGATCAGCTAAGTGGAGTTCAAATTTCTTGGAACGAGGCATTTTTCAATTCACAGCCGTCTTGCCGTTTCAATGTAAACATCAGCCATCTTTGAGAATCAAATATCCATGTGACTAGTTTCAGCCAGCAGTAAACACGCATGCTTATGCTAATGAATAAGGTCTTGTTTACACCCATATTTGGAAGTTTCTGGGATTTGGTAAGGGTCAATGAAACAGTCGTGAATGGGAAATGTGACATTCCACAATACCAAAACCTGTAGAACAATGAAGGGGACATAATAATGACTCAGACAGCCTATAATAGTTATCTCATTGTGCAAATGACGTTGCAAAGTCACAAAAATGTAAAATTTCATAACATTTTACAATTAATAAATAATTTCACAACTAAGGCTAGATGAGTAAAATACTAATAATGAATAAAAAGACATACTAAGGCGTCTAAAATTGAACTTTTACAAAAAACTTTGCTATTTTCTACTGCCCCACATTGCCTTAAGGATGTGTGGGTACAGAGAGTCAAGAATCTTGAGAACTGAGCGGACCGTGTGACTAGTGCAGCTGTCATGAACAAAAGATGAAAACAGCTGGCTAAGCCTCATTTGGGTTTAATATCTATACTATGAGCCTGATAAAGATGACAGAAATGTCCCTGAAATGCCGCTCAAATAGTTTCGTTGCAGTGAACGAGCTGTGCAATTCTCACACACACACACATACACACAATGGAATAGCTTCAGAGCTTGTGTTACAAACGAGTTAACATGCTCATACCACATCATCCTTCGATAATGGATTTCCAATCTCTTCAGTTGAGAAATCCATATAGGCCACAGTGCCATCAATTGAACAGCTCATCAGCTCCATTCCATTAGGGCTCCTGGAGATGACATGAAAAATTAAACATAAACATTTAAATCGTGTGCACTGTGTCAGTGCACATGCACATAAATAGTGGTAAAGTGGTTTGGAGGTAACACAACCACTTCCTTCTGGGTCACATGGTAGAGGAAGAAATGCCATAAAATGATCTGAGAATCTAATCATCTTCCCTTCAATCTCTAGAAGAGGCATTAAACTTCTCCGATAAAAACAAAAAGTTGAATGGTGAATTAAGAATCGACATCAAAGCACTCGGGACACCCCCATAAGCGCCCCTTCCCCATAAGCAGCAAACGAAGAGCTGCAATTCTGATGGCACCAGTAACTGTCTGATTGTATATGCGTCTCATCCTTCCCCTGAGTGTTAAGCATCTGAGATATCCCCTGTAACTCCTTGCAGCGCCATTCTCTTCAGACTGTAATGATCTGTCTGTGCCTCCACACTGTTCACTCGCTCTCAAAGGGCCAACACAATATAAAACCAAATTAAAATATATTAAAAACTCCCAGCCAGTTAGAGATAATAAAGAGTAGACTTATTAGACAACAATGAGCTTGAGAAAATAACTGATTAAAAAAAAATGCAGGTAAAGAAAATATGCTGTTGATGGTTAGAATAAACACTAAGGAAGCTGATGATAATAATAGAACCAGAATGTCCCTGGGTACATATCATGAAACTCACTGCATCTCACAGAGTGCAAGATTTTCAACAGCCTGTGCTATGCTGTATTGGTGTCATGTTTTGTTATTTTTAACTCTACAAGCCTTCTATGTTCTGCGCTGAATGGGAGCCAGCACGAAATCTCATGCCCTGTGAGATGCAGTGAGTTACGGGATATGTACGTGTCACTGCATAAGAACCCACAAGGACAAAGGAATTAAGGGCAGACCACATACACATAAAATACACAGAGATAAAAATAGAATTCCCATTGTGGATTCCAGGGGCCCCATTTTGGAGAACAAAGGCTCACTGCCCCTCTAACAAGTATGTCATATGGGGTGACTAACTGGGGGTGTTTCCTTCAAAGTCAGAAGTGCATCTGTCTGATAGGCAAGGAACCAACAGTCTGCATACAAATAAGCCAGATCAGTTATGGAATCACTGAAAAAATGCCTGAACATAAGTGCCAGTTGACTGTCTACCATACACTGGAATATGAAGAGTACAAACATCTGAAAAAAATATTCAATATACTCTGACACAGCACACTGATTATCTGGTGTTGACATGGCCCTACTCCCAACAACAATAAATTAATTACAAGATAAAACAAACACACTTGATAGAAGAAAGTCACATCATTTACGTGTGAACACTCCCTGCAGGATGTCAATATGAATAAATGATACTATGCTCTCTCCGGGAAAACCTTGCTTTCAAAGTTGACACCGTATACTTATTCAAGTAGTAATGTACACAAAGATAAAGATGTTATGAAACTGATACAAAAGGCATGACAAGCTTTCACAGCACTAGGAAATTTGCTGAAGTCAAAGGAAAACAAACAAAAACCCAAAAAAAAAGTATGGCACTTCTAGGCAATATAAACACAATCAACAACAATTAAATATTAATAACCACAGCCGTCATGTGCTCGAATAATGCCTACATTTTTAAATAACAATAAATCAAAGTAACTGTAATGATTCTAAGGAAAAAAATTAATCTAGCATTAAAATTCAAATATTTACATTTTAACAGGATGGCTGTTTGGATTAGAAACTTGCAGACTGACTAAACAAATTACTAGTAAATAATACATATTCATTAACTGTGCAGAAGTGATGGAATTAATGATATAGTAGAATCACAACTGCAGTTGAGGAAATGGATAATAATAGAACTAGAATGTCCCTGGGTATGTATCTTGAAACTCACTGCATCTCACAGGGCTGGAGATTTCCCACAGCTTGTGCTATGCTGTAGGGGTGTCATGTTTTGTTATTTTCAACTCTACAAGCCTTCTTCCACCTTGTACATCAGCGAAGTGTCACTGATGAGCTCTATTGAGAGCAGTATTAAGATTGATGTTCGTTTCTGTAAGGCTGTTCTTAATGCCATCATTTCATATTTTGCTAGGTCTTCCATTTGCTCTATACCCACTGTAACGCTTCAGTGTGGCTCGCTGGGGTAGATAGTACCAGGGCATTCTTGTTAGGTGTCCTAACCACTTCATATGTTATTCTTTGATGACCTGAAAGACGAACTAAGAACTGTCAGATGAACTACATATTTGCTCAAATAAGATGTGATGGGTCAAAAGGTGCAGATATCACAGCTGTAAATCACAACATAACAGGCAACTGCCTTTCTAAGATGAAAACTAATCAAGAATGCATAAAAGGCAATTAGACAACAACAATAACAACAAAAAGGGGTTGGGTGGGGGTGGGGTAAAGACTGAGTAGATACCTACCAGCTCAAATCAAGTATTGAATTTTCAAACAGATCATGCATCACAACCAGGGGTCGCTTCAGTGCTGTCAGCTGGAAAACAACAATTAGCACACGTTTAAAAAAAAAAAACTGTTGATTGATTAAAATTCAATCCATTTAAAATTAAACAAAAAAAAACATTTAAATGATTAGTTCTGTTTGTTTTTGGAACTGCACTTCATTACCACAAATCTTAAACTTTGGGTAGATTTAATAAACAACAGAATTACTATGTAACTTCCATCTTCTTCTTCATGTTCACTGGCTGTAAACTCCAGTGGAAAGTCCTGCTTATTTCGTCCACTTCTAGAGTTTGGTTTTGTTCCAGGGCTTAAGTGTTGCTACAACATCTGTGTTACAGATCTGGCTTGTTTGTGTGCAGACAGTGGGTTCCTCGCCCCTCAGGCAGATGCACTCCGACTTTGAAGAAATTGTCAATCCTATATTATCTACACTGACCAGACCCTGGGCTGGGAACCTGTTTCTAGGATGAGCACAGAGAGGGACAGACAGGTTGTGACTAGGATGAACCCTGACCCCGGTGCAACACATGTGGTTTAGCACCTCTGCATTGCAGGCAACTTTCAATAACCAAGAATACATATGTCACCAAGCAGAATCATGTAAATAAAGTGTACATACCCATATAGACAAGGACCGGTCCTTGCTGCCTATAGCACAGCAGGAGTACTGTTGAGCCTGTAGAAAATAAAACACAAATATTTTGAGATGCTGTATTTTCATCTTCTTCTTCAAGCTGACCGGATGTAAACTCCGGTGGAAAGTTCTGATTGCTTGTCCATTTCTGGACTTTGATATTGTTTCAGAACTTTAGTGCATATTTGTTTCATAGATCTGGTTATATTTTGTATGTGGACTGTTGGTTCCCCGCCTCTCAGGCAGATGCCCTCAGACTTCAAAATAAACCCGTAATTAGTTGCCTTGTATGAGCTGGTTAGGTAGGCAGTGTGTCTGCCCCCCCTCCCCCCCCCCCCCAACACGGAGTCCCAGACACCACACGTGGTCCTAGACACAACACGGGGACCTGGACATTACATGAGGTCCTGGACACCACACGGGGACCTGGACACAACACGAGGACCCGGACACAACACGGGGACCTGGACAACACGAAGACCCGGACACAACACGGGGACCCAGACACCACACGGGGTCCTAGACACCACACTGGGTCCTAGACACAACACGGGGACCTGGACACCACACGGGGACCTAGACACCACACGGGGTCCTAGACACCACACGGGGACCTGGACACCACACGGGGTCCTAGACACCACACGGGGACCTGGACACCACACGGGGACCTGGACACAACACGGGGTCCTAGACACAACTCAGGGACCTGGACACCACATGGGGACCTGGACACCACACGGGGTCCTAGACACAACACGGGAACCTGGACACCACACAGGGTCCTAGACACAACACAGGGACCTGGACACCACACGGGGGACCTGGACACCACACGGGGACCTGGACACAACACGGGGACCTGGACACAACACGGGGTCCTGGACACAACTCGGGGACCTGGACACCACACGGGGACCTGGACACCACACGGGGTCCTAGACACAACACGGGGACCTGGACACAACACGGGGTCCTGGACACAACTCGGGGACCTGGACACAACACGGGGACCTGGACACCACATAGGGAAGATGCTGTATAAAAATTATCATCAGGTGATATAGCGATAAGCATGGATGGTCAAGGTTCACTCTTTCACACCATCACATGAGTCTCAAATGTGGTTTGTATTCATATTTCCTACACAGAAAAACATTCTTTTGAGTTTGTATTCATATTTCATATAAAGAAAAACATTCTTTTATCTTCCATTTTAGGAGGGAAAAGTTGAGGAAATAAAACAAAACACTTATTTACACACCATTTGCTTATTTAAAAAAAATATTGTATCCTGTCTGCTTTTTTCCCTAATCATATGGCCACACATGGATAATCAGCTAACACTGAAATGTACTTTCTGGTCTACGTAAGTCTCTGGCACAAAGTTTATGAGACAGTTAACCCCAGAGGTGTCGCCATCAAGAGTATTATTCACCCAGTTCTCAGCAGAACTTCACTCCCATAAATGCTATCGCCCTGTAAAAGGCTAAAGCTAGTCACTGACTGTCGTGATAGTCTCATAAATACCGATTTATGGTTACGTCTGCAGTGACCTGTTCCTGAAAAAAGTAGTCATTTGGACCAGCTGGTCCTGTGTGTGCCTGTGCCGTGTTTTTAGGCCAGGATGTCAATGCAGTAACTAAAAATAGCATGGGGTGGAATTCCCTTATGAGCCCAGGGACCTTTTTAAGGCCATGCTGATGTAAAATTTTCGGACAAGTCCCAGTAACGGAGGTCATGGCATTAGTCGTCTGATACATTTCTTTTTTAATGTCAAGGTGAATGTATTCAACCTAATGCTTCATTCCGTTCACGTTTACTGAAGACACATTTATATATTTTGTTATCATCTCTTTGCTTTCCCTCAGCTCGTTTCCCACCAGTCTTGCTAGCTGTTCTTGGGCGCCTTTATTCTCTGAACATGCCCCCACACCCCTTTCCCCAAAGAAACGCTAACCTGTCCACATGCCAAAAAACACTAATGGTCTACATTAATTTCTATTGAGTTTAGTTTTCCTGTCTCACCATTACAAGTGCTAAATTTGTAATCTGAGGTTTTCACTGTTAAATATAATTCCTTCATTTATTAATATACTCTGACTTCAAAGAATGACCACAATTAGTCGATTCCTAAGACAAGCTTGTTCTTTTGACTCTAGTGTTGCATCTGCTAGATCTGTTATTGGTGCCATCAATACATTTGTCTTTTCATTTCTAACTTGTATGATGCTGTATTTATTAACTTGTATATTTTTCTCCACACATCATTGTTGTTTTTCCTTAGCATATCAGTAAAATTGAGATCTCTCAACTGTGTGTTCTCCACCAAGTCAAAGCCAGTGTTTGCCTTTTTGATATGTTACATAGGGCTCGCAATCTATCCCTCCATTTTGTTCTATCCTGTGCCATCAGTTCAATATTGTGGATGAAACCCAGTCCAGCAGCTTTAGCCTCTTTCATCACCATTTTCTTAGGGTTTCTTTGAGTGTCCTCACCTCCTTAATCCCTTTATTTCCTATCTTAATGCCTGTTTGGTGATTCTCAGGATGTATCCAATAGAGGGTGATCTTCTCTGTCTTAAAACTGTTGGTGCTAGTTAATGCCAAGACATTTCCCTTATTTCTCCACCTCTCTTAAATTCTTGGTCCACCCAGTCAAAGCCAGTGTTTCCAGCAAAGTATTTTTCATCATCCAGTCGATGTTTATGCAAAATAACAGAGGAGATAAAATCTTCCCTTGTTAAATTAACTACAGTAAGAATAACAATCATCTTTCAGAAATAATGTGGTTTTTTTGTGCGGTGCACTTACCTTTTCTCCTTTAAACTTCTTCTTGAAAATATTTGGGTTAAATCTCTGGGGGAAGAAAGAAGATAAATAAGTTAAATGTAAATCTTCATCTTCTCACTGACAAAAGTGGTAAACACAGGCAGTAATGGCAGGTTTCAATATGCATAGTGGCTGGACCATCGTCAACAGCAGGCAGATTATGGCCTGGGACTGCTTACCGTCTCAAAAGAGTCCGATGGACAAACTAGAGCACATACAGAACGCAGCTATGCAGGTCATTCTGGGTTGCACCAGAGACACCCCAGTGGTGTGTATGCGATACATCCTTGGTTTGCCGACTGTTGCAGGTAAGACCAAGGTGCTGCAGGCGAAGTCATATCTCAGGATAGCTGCAGACACAGCTTTGCATGAAGCTCTGGGTGCAGTTAATGTAGCTCAGCTCTCTTCTTTGTTGCGTATGTTGATGTCACACCCAGGTTCGTCTTTAGGTTTGCTACAGGAGGAGTCGATTGGAAGATTATAGACGAGGAGAAAGATGGTCGTGTTGATAGTGGTGGTGATGATGATGATGTCCTGCTTGCTATATGCTTCTCACGTGACTCTGATGCTTGTCTAATAAAATGGCTGGAAACAACTGTTCTTGTCTACACTGTCTTTATTGTGATATCTCAGCAATGTTACAAACAACATCAATAATATTCTGAATGGCGCTGTATTCTCCCTATGGTTACATACTCTTAGGTTCGCGTTATATTCTTCATCTCTAGTTACTTTGTTAACTGGTTCTAGTGTTTCTAACTGCCACCTGGCTTCTAGTGCGGTTTGGTACTAATAGCTTGATCGTCGACTTTAAGATCTCTATAGTGTTCCTAATGTGTCTCTGTTAACCATGGATCCATGTACCGTGTGTGTTGTCTCTGTAGTTCGTTGTCTCGTTTCATGTCTCTTCTCTAGTGACTGTCTTCGAGGCTCCAATGGACGGGCTCCTCTCCTTCTAGTGTTGAGTTGGCATCTCCACAACTACGAGGATCACTGAGACTAGTCGCTCGTCCTCTGAGTCTCTGAGACTGAAGGCATGCTCCGAGTTGAGCTGACATCTCTACAAGTGAAGGCTGCTTTTAGGGTCCATATGACTGGCCGATTCTCTCTTGAGTCTTGTGGACTGAGGAATTGCTAAGGTGCTTTGTTACTCGTTATTTATACTTGAATGCTGGAATGCTAGGTATTTGTTTTCTTCCCACTCTTTCTGCTTCTAGAATATTCTAGTACGTCTCAACTTTTTTACTAGGTAGGTTCTCACGTGGGATTTTCTAAAAATATCTCGATTGCATCGAATTTCATCATCCTATTCTACGCAGATATAGTAGTTAAACTGACAATTGACGTCAATAGACTCCTACAAAACAAGTGCTACTAGGTTCTTTCTGAAAGGGCAAGGCCAACAATGACATCAAATACTATTTATAAAAATTGTTTCTAAAACTTGTTGACTTTCTTCTCATCAAATACTACGCAAAATACTATTTCCTAACAAACAAGTAAAGATGTCAATTTTCAGTTTTGGCGGGAAAAATGAAGGGTACCAAAACTTGTTGATCTCCTTATATCCTAGCTTTGTGCCTAATAACAAACAAGCTATGACCCACTCTGTTACATTAAGGGTCAGTGGTTGATAAGAGGGAAGTCATGGATGGCTCAGGCAGAAGACACAGTCAGACAGGTTTGCATCCTTGAGAACATTAGGCGAGGACAGAATGGGTCAAAGTGCCACCTGAACAGTCAGGCTCGTGTAGGATCATAATCACACTGAGCCGGAAATGCAGAAACTGGCCAGCAGGTGCCACAGAGATAGAAATTCAGCAATTTATTCAGGATATTGCTCGCTCTCATGATTTGATTATTTACACAGACGGTTCAGTGTCAAGAGGCAAAAGAAGTGCTTGGGGTTTCTTAGCAAAAGTTAATGGTTGACGTTTGGTGCAGGAGAACCTTGCATATAGTACCACAACATCCAGATTTAAAATGGAGGTGATGCAGCGTTCCTCTGGTCAGAGAACACGACACACACACATCTTGATTGTAACTGACTCAGAAAGCATGCTGAGGAAGATCAGGACAGATATGCTTAGTGCACAGTGGCATGCTTCACTGTCGAGGACACGGGTGAGAAGTACTGTCTGGATTTTGTCCCAGGGTTATGCCAGTGTGTTGCGAAATGAAGAGGCGGACAGACTGGCTGGCTCTGCATAACTTGGTTGAATACTGATGCATGATTTGGCCGACGTAGTTAGTGCCTTGTGGGACAGCGTGTACAGTCCGGAGGAGCGGATGGATCACCACAGTCTGGTAAGATTGATGCAGGGGGGAGTGATAAGAGGTTCTGGCAGATGCTTGAGGCTCAGAGGAAGGGCCAGATGGATGTTTAATCAAAATTCTACTGGCACCATTGATATCAGAACTCTTTGCTGGCTGCTGAAGATGGGAATTGAGCGCTTATGGGAATGCCCCAGTGTTGTGATGTTGGCTCTTGAATCAAATCAAATCAATAGCAGGCAGGCAACCAGCTGGCAGGGAGAATTATGCTTCACTTCTGGACATTAGTCTTGTTCTAGAATCTGAGTTTTGCATGCACATCCATTGTACAGATCTGGCTTATTTGTATGCAGACTGCTGGTCCCTCGCCACTCGGGCAGATGCACTCTGACTTCAAAGGAAACATCCGTAATTAGTCAACACGTTTATTAGTGAGCAGTGGGTCTATTCCCCCCCCCGATCCATGCACCCACCCACGCATGCACACGCACAATGGAGCCCTGGAACCCACAGGAAAAATAACTTTTTTTCTATGATTGACACCTTTCTGTCTTTCCAGACGACAGTGTGGGACTCACAGTCTATAACGATATCGGGTGTGACTAGCCAGACCCACCTGCATTAAGAAAAGTCTTCCATAAATACAGCATGGGATCTTGGGACCGTTGCAATAAAATAAAATCTATTCTAACAAGAACAAGAATTCCCACATCTTACCACAACTGTAACGGCTTTCCTATGTCCCACAAAGTCCAGACTAGCTTTGAAACCCTGCCTCTCAATGATCTGGGCTGTGGGTCCCTTGTTGTTCATGGCATGTGCTGAAACGATGTGATGACCATCTGGTGACCAGCTCAGCCTGAGGCAGTGAGTGGTGCCTCCACACTGATAACAACAGGGAAATACTGCAGTCAATGTAGCACACAACAATGCATTTGGTGGTAATGACGAAAGTATGAACAATGAATATGTTGGAAACAACAAGAGTATCAAGCTAGGCTTGGAACAACAATGTATACGGTGATGACAAGGAATGTTTCAAACTAGGCTTGAAACAACAATGTATATGATGGTAACAACGGAGGTATCACACTAGGCCTGACACAACAATGCATAATGTGATAACAACAGAAGTATAAAACTAAGCCTGACACAACAATAAATATGGTGGTAACAACGGAAGAATCAAACTAGGACTGATACAACAATGCATAAGGTGGTAATAACACTAGTATTGAAAAAAAAAACTAGGTCTGATACAACAATGCATAAGGTGGTAATAATGAAAGTATCAAACAAACTAGGTTTGATACAACAATGCATAAGGTGGTAATAATGGAAGTATCAAACAAACTAGGTCTGATACAACAATGCATAAGTTGATAACAACGGAAGTTTTGAACAAACTAGGACTGACACAACAATACATAAGTTGATAACGGAAGTATTGAACAAAATAGGTCTGATACAACAATGAATAAGGTGATAACAACGGAAGTATCAAACAAACTAGGTCTGATACAACAATGCATAAGATGATGACGAAAATATCGAACAAACTAGGCCCTGACACAACAATGCATAAGGTGATAACATCAGAAGTATCAACAAACTTGGTCTGACACAACAATGCATAAGATAACAACGGAAGTATAGAACAAACAATTAAAATAGTGTAACAAAAATGGGGCGGAGGGTGGGGGCAGAGAGAGAGAGAGAGAGAGAGAGAGAGAGAGAGAGAGAGAGAGAGAGAGAGAGAGAGAAGAGAGAGAGAGAGAGAGAGAGAGAGAGAGAGAGACTGAGAAAGAGAGACTGAGAAAGAGAGAGAGAAAGAGAAACTGTGAAAGACGTTACATTCTAAAACAAGCTTAGGAATATGAATATTCAACTGCCTCAAGTATTCCCTCTCTGTTTATTTATGTGAATTAGGAGTATGAGATGAAATCAGGACAAGGGAGTGACAGAGATCAAGACAGTGCAGATAAAAACAAATGTAAAACATAACTGTATTTTTAGTTACATTAAAAAAATAATAATAATAATAAAAGCAAGGGGAACCAGAAACTAATCAGAAGCCATGACGGGTCTATGAGGAACAATTCTAAGTCAGTGTAAAACAGTTCAGGGCTGCTGACCTCTTTGAAGGGGTCCACAATAAGGGATTCTTGCTGCCAGTCTATAGTTCTCCAGACCCTCAAAGTGCGGTCATCAGACTAAAGAATACACATTATAATTAAATTACAGTGGGAAAAAATTATAATTAAAAAATATCAAACTAGTAATACTTATACCAGAATTTTGTACTAGTAACTCATTTATGATGTCTGAATAAACTGTATTTTTTTTATTCATTCCTTAAAACTGGTAGTTCTTAAAACTTTCAATGTAGATGAAGTAACCACATTTGAGAGTTAACCTTAGGTGGAGGGAGTGACATGAATGCACTATGTCTGACAAGCAGTAAATGATAAATTGTTTAGTTTAGTTAATAACCAAAAAGTTAGGTGTCTCTCTGAAATAAAAAACGATATTATATACTCAATTCCCCGTGTGGGTTCCAGAGCCCTATTAAAGGGGAAAACAAGAATAGACCCACTGCCTACCCAGAAGCATGTCATGAGAGTCGACTAATTGGGGGCTTCCTTCAAAGTTGGAGTGCAACTGCCTGAGAGGCAAGGAACTAACAGTCTGCACACAAATGAGTTGAGATGTGTCAAACAGATGCACATGCAACACTCAGGTTCTGAAACAGGACTGCAGTCCAGAAGTGGACAAACAAGCCCATAACTTTCCGCCGGAATTTACAGCTAGCTGGTAAACGTGAAGAAGAAGAATTATGATTAAAACACCTCATTTATCAATAAATGATGATGAACATGTTTTCCATTAAAATCTGCATATTTATATTTGGCTCCATTTTTCAGATGTCTTCAAAACTGTGAAATACAAGTTTCTGGCAAGAAGGATAAATGGTGATAATATCTTTCTTATTCCGATTTTCAGCTTTACAAAGGAGACTGAAATGACAAGTGATATCACAGCCGCTAAAACAACTCAAGACAAAAATATACGGCCTCAGTAATTGCAGGGGAGCCATGGTAATGTAGTGACTGGATATTAACCTGCCAGCCTAAAGGTTTAGGGTTCAAATCTGCACCTACCAATTCTGGCTTTTTTTTTTCTTTATTCAAGACTGACCTTGGTTCTCAGGTTGACCCACACACTAAAAGGGTTACCAAAACATGTCATGACAAATAAAAGTGTCCAGCATGATGCTAATCACATGACCCATCTAGTGCCTATTGCAGGGTTCATAGCCAAATTTACCAATCAATTTCAAGGCTTTTCAAAGTCTCCTTAGTTTTTTTCAAGGTTGTCTCGGTGTAATACTGAAACAAGATTTTTGCCTTGTTCAAGGGTGTACTGAGCACACAAGGTACTTCATTTGTGCCACATGTGTTGGTATACCAGCACATATATCATCATCATGTAGCATTTCCTTTGTCCTGACAAAAAAACCTCGGTCTCTCACCAGCTCTCCCGCCTCATGTACTTTTTTATACTCAAGGAGTCACTTATATCCTGTGCCCATCTTCGTGTTGGTCGGCCCCTGAGCTTGATATAGTGTTTGAAATTTTTTTTAAGGCTTGGTGGTAGAGGGCAGCAAACTGAAGTCCTGTCTGTTCTGGACCTGGTACCTGAGAGGGTTAGGGGGGAGAGAGAAAGTCATGAAGAGAGAGGAAGACACATGCTGAGGTAGGCTGGGAGAGACAGTGTAAAGATGGACAGATGAAGGTAGAGAAAAGAAGGAAAAGAAGTCTGGGGAAGGAGGAAAAAATGAGAGGGAGGGATGGAGACATGATGAGGAAAAGTGGGGAAGGGACAGCGAAAGACAGAGAGGGAGACAAATACAGAAAGAGGGAATGCAGATACAGAGATCGGCAGATGAAAAGAGAAGGAAAAAGGGAACGAAACAGAGATATGGAAGGAGGAAAAAATGACAAAGAGTTGAAAGAAGGGAGACTGAGGGAGAGAGAACGGACAGGGTGAGAAGCAGATGCAAGCAGAGAGAGATGTAGACATAAAGGAGAGAGAGACAAAGGGACAGCACAGAGAGGCAAGCAGACAGAGGGAGAGAACCAAAGAAAGAGAAAAAAGGCAGAGCAGAAGAATGGGAGGGAGGTAAACAAAGAGGAAGTGATGAAGGGAGGCAAACAGACATAAAGCAAGAGAGAGAGAGAGAGAGAGGTGGGTAAGGAAGGCAGTGACAAATACAGATTAAGAGAGAGGGGCAGGAAGGGAGACAAGATACATCAAAGAAAAAAAACAGCCACCTACCCCCCCCCCCCCACACACAATTTCAAGTGTAGTGGACACAACCACTAGGAAAAGATAGTTATGGGGCAAAAAAATACGTAGATGAACCAGTAAAAAAATGGGGAGGGGGGGGGAGAGAGAATGAGAGAGGGGAGCGGGTAAGGAAATCTAGAGAAAATGAAAAGACAGGATGGAGAGGAGACAAAGAAGAGATGGGACAGGAGAAAGGGCAAGGAAAGGAAGAGAGGAAGAATGGAGAGAGAAAGGAGAATAGTAGAAGATCAAAGGAAAGAGAAGGGGTGAGAGAAGAAAGGTAAGACACTGTTGTGGGGGTGGGGGGGGTGTAAGAACAATGAGTGCCAAAAATAGAATTAGGAAATCTCTAAGTGAGGCCACTTTTCCGGTTCCTACCCTCTCCCAATGTGAATGTGGCCGTGGTCCAAAAACAACAGTGCTAACCCCTACTGCCCCTTGCTTGTCCTATCTGTGTGTGACAACAATAATTCAATTTCTTACACCTAAGGCTGGTGACCTGAGAGCCAAGGTCATTTTATAAAGAAAAAAAAAAGTCCAGGGCATCCCAACCCACCACTGGTGTGAATAGAGAAGTTTACCCACACACATAAATAGGTCAGACACATAAATAGGTCAGGGCAGCAGTGGACTTCCGTCTTATTTCTGGTTTTCCAATTACAGAAAGGAGGGGAGAGAGGGGGTGGTGGAAAGTGGTGTAAAAGGCTGAGGTGGTAAGGGTGAGACAGAGGAGGTGAGAGAATAAAGTGGGAATGAGACAGGGAGAGAAAGAAGGGAGTAAGAAATAAGATGAGATATAGAGGAAAGAAGGTAGCAGGAAGGGGTGCACTCCCTCCCCTAGGTGTCATCAATGTTGGAGGATAAAAGGGGGGAGTGAAGGCAAATGTGTTTTTAAAAGTACACATATATTTAATGTGTGGGAGGGGGGAATGGTGGACATGAAATGTTCTGCACTAGGCAACACATAACCTTCTACACCAACTGAAGGTATGGAGAAAGAAAGAGAGAGAGAGAGGGAGGGAGTGAGGGAGAGTGGCAAATACAAAGAGAAAGAGAGAGAGGAAAGCAGTGACACAGACAGGCAGAGAGTGAGGAACAGGTAGGACAAAATGTGAGGGGGCGGGAAGGGAGATGGACAGAGATTAAGGCCGCTAGGAAAACACATCAAAAGAAAATATCCACCATGTTGACACAGAATGCCCCCCCCCCCCCAATACAACTTCCTGTGTACTTGAGTTGCTAGAAAGAGTTATGGAGCCTCACATTTACTAAACATTTAAACAAGAAATAAAATAGGAAAAAGGGGGAGGGGGGACAGGAAATGAGAGAGTAAAAGGTAAGATAGAGAGAAAGAGAAGAAGATGAAGATCAGAAGGGAGGGTTAGATACAATGCAGGAGACGGGAAGGAAGGAGCAATAGGTAGAAGAGTGAAAGAGGGAGGGAAGAGAGAGAGAGGGGTGAGACAACAAAAGAGGGAATCTTGGGGAATTACAATACTGATCGCCAAACACACTGTAAAGATAAATCCAGGCCAAAAATAGAACTGGGAAATCCAGCTGCAGTCACTTTGCTTAGCCCCAATGCCATCTCTAATTAATAGAGAAGGCCGTGCTTAGCTCCCACCACCTTAGCTCCCACCACGGTGACTCTATTTATAAATACAACTGAACCGAGCCCCACCATCTCCCAATGTAATCCTTTCTAGAAACCACGGCCATAAACGATTTATACTGTTCATTTTGCCCGACTCGCTAGAAACAAAGGCACACACACACGCGGGCAAGACGGAATCTGCTACTTCCCGCCCCATGCCACACCGCTGCTGTCTGCATGTATTCATGATCTGCAACACAGCCCGCCCTCCCCTGGCCTTTAACAAGCCATTTCGGCTGAAAATAGCCAATAATCAGCTGCCCTCACACCTAAAACGACCATACAACGAAAGTAGCGAAAAACTAGCCAAATGGCCAAAAAAGCCAAATGGCTCCCCCAAAATTGCCTGTGCTGAAAAACACAGGATTTCTGACGATTTCATTGCCGCGGTCAAAATTCACGGCTTTTCAAGGTCGGAATGTCTTTTATAAGCTAAAAATCAAGGTTCGAGGTCAACGAAAAAAATCCCGGTAATTTCCCGATCCACTACGAACCCTGCTGGTTTATTACAATAAAAAAAAAAAATAGGTCGACTGTGATATGCCTGATGCATCAAAAGCATGCAAAATGTCTTTTTACAGTTACTGTCATTAGTGAGAGAACTCTTGCACTAAACAACCTTATTATTTAAAATCCCCATGACCTGTTATTGCCACTTGAGAACCAACATCAGCCTGAGGTTCAAACTTTTACTGCCTCAGTTCAATCCAGTCTGGAATGCTGTCATATAAACTCTTTTAACCTTTTCACACCAAAAAAGCCGCAAACCCTGGCACTTCCATTAAGCTCCAATTCCTCGTAAATACCACTATTCCAGCATGTGATTACTTTGCTGAATGCTGTCTTTTTCTGGTGTTGGTATCTGGAGGCAGCTTCTTTGTGGTTTCCTGTGCAGATGTATTTCATTCATTGTTTTATTTTGGCACTGTCTTTATAAATACTCAGTCCTGATAATGACTATGTCGACATTTTCTAAAGCGACTGGTCCTATGGTTTGTTTTACATCGGCTGGTGCTGGGGGAGGTGTCTTTAATCTGGGCTGCTTTCCTCTTGACTTTCCACAATTTCCACATCTGAGTTGCTTTCATCATCCGCATGCCTATTTTCATCTTATGATTTCATCTTCTGATTGGTTACCCGGCTTCAGGGTTTGCTTGGTTATCAGGCTTTAGGGTCTGCTTGGTTATCCGCCTTCAGGGTTTGCTGGATTCTTCTCCACTGCCAGTCAAGGATTTGTTGCTTTGCGTCTGTTTGCTCCATTGTTTCGCTGCACTGGCTTCTGATTGTTGACTGTTCCATTCCATGTATATAGAGCAGTTCTGGCAGAGTCAATCATTATGAAATAAATTACAATGAAAAAACATGTATTAAATTTAATTAAACATAAGCCGCAGGGAGAAAAACAGAGAGGAAGACAAAGCATATGGAGAAATGATTAACATTATTAACAGAACAATATGCACAAAATGGAGCAGCAGAAGGTAGCAAAAGATATGACTACTAAAATAAGGACAGAAGCAGAAAGAAAATAAGAAGATGATACCAAAAATGTCTTTTACATATAAAATGAAGAACACGGACATCCCTGTGTGGATTTTGGTGCTCCATATGGGGGGGGGGGGGGGAGAGAAGACCTACTGCCACCATACAAGTCTGTTATAAAAGGTGACCAATTTGATGCTGAAATCAGATGTTTTGCATTTATATGACATTTGCATTTATATGACATTTGGGTTGAAGGGTACAGATATCACAGCCTAGCTGTAAATCACAATGCAACATGCCAAATGCCCCTTTAAGATGAACACTGAAAAAGAAGAAATAGGACAAGCTAAATTATTCCACATTAGGTTGGAGTAAAATATTATTCTGTTTTATGAATTAAGAACACCCCACAAATTAAGGAAAAACTCACAAATAACAGGGAAAACACAAATGACAACAAACTCACCTGTGAGGCTAAGTATTTCCCCACAGGATCCCAAGTTACACCTTTAACAAGCCCTGTATGGCCTTTCAATGTAGCAACCTGCTCTGTTGATACAAGTTGTAAACACAAGAATTATTTAATATCAAACCTTCATGAACTGACTCTAGCCAAATGTTTTCATCACAGTCCTATCACACTGCGTGTCACTGGTTTGTCGGTTGCTGTTGACTGTCTGATCAGTTCTCTGCACCTCTATTTTTTTTTGTCTTCTTCTACATTTCCTTTTAACAGTGTGGCAGACAGGTTATGTTGTGGTCTGCAGTTATGCTGCTATATCTGCGCCTTGTCGCCTTCTGTATTCGCGCGTAAAAGAAAAGTAGGCAAACTGTATCATGGTTTTCAGCAAGGCTGTGATAGCTGTGCCTCTCTGCCTAATACATCCAATATCAGAATATCGTATTTAGCTGGCTATTATGCCAAACCTGTTAGAGATAATCCAAGTGTGCTAGCTAAAAGTTTACTACCCTGAGATAAAAAATATATGGCTGAAAGACCAACACTGGAGATCCCACATCCATTCTATCTCCAGAGAAGTTCAAATTATTGCAACCATAATGGCAAAATCAGCCTGATTTAATCTGCAGTTCTGATCTGGTAAGAATATGCATAAGGCTAAATTTAAACAACAGAAAAAAGCCAGAGAAACTTTTACAGATTAAATCTCTTGACATTACATTTTTAAAACATAAACATTAAGGTAAAGGACCTGTTTTCACGCCTTTACATAGAGTGGGCATATAGGGCAAGATCTTTATTTTATAAGCCAATCAGCACTTGGTGGGTGATGTGGCCAGCATCATGCTGCCCCTCTTTACTTCCCAGAACTATATACATATAAGTTACTTGTGTATCCTTTACAGGACATTGTAGAACCAATCCTATAATTATTTGGCTATTGTGGTTTTGCTAGGCAAATTTTATGTTCAGTAGTTTGCCTTTGTTTCCTGAATGTTCAGAGCTTGGCACCACTGTCGAAATCAAGGCAAGACAAATTGTCCGTAGCTGGGATCGAATACGGCACCATAGCATTAGGAAGAGCGTTCGCAACGCCTAAGCCAGACGCCGACAATATACTAAATATATAACATATTTAAAAAACAAAAATTATCAACTTTCACTTTTTTTCAGAATACTATTCAACCATATTACATTGTAATACACAGAGTGTATTTGCAAAATCTTAGCGTGACAGCTTTTTAGGAAATAGTGTAGTCATCGAAGATAATGTTATAATAGTGAACTTGAAGATTACGTTTCTCAACATTATATTATTTCCCTTGATAATATATATTTTACATGATCGTCATATAAAATTGTTGGCATAAAAAAATTATGACAAAAAAATTTTTTCCTAACACTTTTACACCAGGCTGCACAATGTGTATGAGTGCAAAATATCTGCCCGATAAATTATTGTGAAATAATGTTAAAATCTACCAGGAATTTCCACCAACAGAAATAAAAAAAAACATACAAAAACGTCCTTAATAAAAGCCTATAAAAGTGAGTTCAACTCAAACAAATATGTTTCAGATACAACAAGAATATTGTTTGAATTATATGTACACAACAGACCTTTAATGAATACTTTTGCTTTTTATAGATTCAAGATATATGCCACAGCGTTTTTTTTCCCTTTTAAACTGATAGTTAATGAATAAAAACTGTTTAGCTTTGAGTACAATCAACCTGGAAATTTTAACGCATTCCAAATGACAACAGTATTATCCACACTGCAAGTGGCCAGCCAGACATCTTGAGGTGACCATGCCAGATCAAGAACATCTGAAGAAAACAAAATACATTTATTTAAAAAAAAAAACAGTAGTCAGTCTTATATTTTCAACTTTAAATAAGGGTTCTATAAACCATTAAAATGACATAACCAGACTAGTTAACACAATGATTAAAGAAAAAAAAAGAAAAATAAAAAAAAACAGCAAAAGCCTAACACATATGTGTGTGTGTGTGTGCATATAACTGGCCTTCTGCCTGTTTTGCTTTTCATATATGACAGTGATGAGCATTGGTGTATGGTTTAAACCAGAACAGGAATGAAGCAATTATGGGGTGGCCTCTTGCCATGAAGACTGAACTAATGATTAACTAACACCCGTACAAAGTTTAAGTAAAGTAAAAGATTTTGTAAGTCTGAATTTATACAGTGTCATTAACTCTTGAAGGATGTTAGTTTTCCCCATGCTTCCCACTGGATCTGTGTCTCTCCAATTTTCTCTATGTCTATCCATACCTATCTCTTTCTCTGTATTTCTTTCTGTTGCAACTTCTCAGCCTATTTATTGCTCGCATATTTTTCCCTGCATCTCATTTCCCTCTGTGTCATTATCCCTTACTATATTCCTCTATCTGCTTAATGATTTGTCTAGAAACACCCTCCCGCTAGAGTTTGCAAGTACTAGAAATGTTTTACGATCAGTTATCACTAAGGTTTAATTAACTGTTTATTGTTAAAAAGAAAAAACCCTTGCAGGAAAAGGTTGTGAACCCGGAAATTCCAGAAAAGCCTTAAAAGAATACCGCTACTCCCCTTTTTGCATTAATAATTAATTAAGGGCAGCATTACTTCAACATAGTATCTTTAAGTTTTTGAGTTACCACAACACATTTTTTAGTCTAAGACCTCAAAAATACAGCTTTGGGATAGAAATTACTGTAACAACTTGAGATATAATTGGTTAACATAAGATAAGCTTAGGCTAGAAAGAGTGAAGAAATGTGCACCATACAAAGGAGTAAACAATAAGTTCTTTGGTACTTGATAAATTAAGGGTATGCCAAACATATGTTGTTATTTTGTGTGCATGCTCCAATTACCTCCGGCGTGTCCTCTCAGAGTAAACACAGGTCTCCACTGCTCATGCAGAACAACACTTCCTGTAGAACCAAATGCTGTTGAGGGACCAGCTCCCCGACTTGTCTGCCAGATCATCACAAGCTTGTCATCGCCACCGGATGCCAAGAATTTCCCACTGTGGGACCATCTCACGCTGTTAACACAAGCTGTCAAGGAAAGTTTAACAGACTGTTAACATAAGCTGTCAAAAAAAGATTTAACACACTGTTAACACAGGCTGTCAAGGAAAGTTTAACACCCTGCTTTCACAAGCTGTCAAGGAAAGGTTTAAGACACACTGGTAAAATAGGATGACGGAAGAGTTTAACAGTTAATAAAAGCTGTAAAAACAGTTTAAATGAGCAGTCATATAACATTTAATGCAAGTAAACACAGCTAAAATGCTTGCAAATTCAAAATTCTGACCTACTTTTATGCTGCTGTCAAACCGGCCCTATACCAAATGTCTTGTGTCATGTGACAGATTATTAGAGATCACTGCATCAGAGTATGCATGTTTTTATATCATCAAGTCGGCTTGCTCATCCCAGAGGCTGATACAAAGTAGATAGTTACCCGTTTCACAATCATTTTAGTTTTGTGACTGCCCATAAACTAACCCTTGTGCATTTTTTTGTCTTTTTCTCCTCTTGCCCTCAATATAGCAGTTAGCACACTGTAATGAGATTTACAGCTAGGCTGTGATATCTGAGCCTCTTAACCCAACACATCAATATCAGCAATCCTCTAATTAGACATTATTTGTGACATGCTGGTTAGAGAGTGGGCAGGGTGGCCCGTGGGGGAAGGGAGGGAGGGGTGTATCTATTAATTTTTCTCTCAAAACAAGGTCCCCAGAATTCACACAGGGACCATATGTCTAGTTTTCAGACTTCCCAAAAACTTGCTCTTGCACATTTTCTATGGAGAATATAATAAATCTAGTTGAGATTGCCTACAAACTTACTCTTGTGCATTTAAATGGACAATATTTCTAGTTGAAATTGCCTATAAACTTACTCTTGTGCATTTAATATGGACAATAACTCTAGTTGAGATTGCCTATAAGATACTGATCTACACGTAAGCATGGTTTTAGTTATACAGAAACCCATTTAAACAATACAAATAATGAAGCTGATATAATACTGTACCGTAGTGATGGTCCATCTGGCACAAAATCTTTGGCACATTTTCATCACTCTCTAGAGATGCCTCCCGCACAGGGGCCATGTTCCAGATGACAATTTTTCCATAATCATCACCTTCAAATAGACCATGAAAAAGAAGAAACCCATTAATCAATTCCATTCAATAAAAATATTTCATTGCAGTTTGTAAGGTATCATGACTTCGTCACAAAACATTTTTGAAAAGCATATTGAAGTTAGCTGCGTATTCTTCATAGAATGATGCAGAATCAACGGCAGCCATTTTTTTCTTAAGCTGTGAGTTTTCTAGGCAAATTTACGTTCTGTAGTTTGCCACTTCTTTATGAACAGAGGACCCGCAATACCACTGTCCAAACCAATGCAAGATGGTTTGCTGCCAAATCACATGCAGCTGGGATGAACCCAACACCCTGGTATTACGAAGCGTGTTCACAAGGCCTGAGCCACAGACAACAACAACAAAAAGCATGTAAAAAAAGAAATGGAAAATAAATGTGTGAGTTTTTCTTTCTAAATTAATTCATACCAGCCCAGCTACATAAATATTGTTAACAAGCCAAAGTTAGGGGAATTCTTCTGACAATCAGTAAAAAACTGAACAGGTATCTAGACCTCTTGACTGTCAATTTATTACCAGCCCAATTATCCATGTATTTCTTTTTCTCCATTTTTTGGGTGTCAAAATATCAGGGCGTCGTGACAGTGAGGTAATAAATCTAGAGACTCCAACTTTATACTTAAAGTTGTAAATCTAAAGTAAAGTTTCAGGTCTACACATTCCATCTTTATATTTAACATCATGGGTTACATTAAGTCCAAGGTGAACCAATGTGTCAAAGAGACTGAATGGCTTCTTGGAGATTAGCCTTAACACTGCATGTCTGGTGGTGGGCCTACCTACTTCTGGGACAATCCCTGCCTTTTGCGGAGCATGATGGCCATGCAGGTGAACTATTAATTAGCTCACTGAAAGTAAGGCTCCCCAACACGTGATTTGCGCACATGATGCTAGATTCATGTTTTGAATACTGATCAGCACTCTGGGTGTGATTTGGTCAACATCATGCCTGCAGTCACTACTTTCCAGGCCATTCTATGATACCCATTTTAGACTTTGCCGACCAGGTCAATTTCGTTAAACCCCCTACCCCCATGCAGATCTGAACCCATGACATTCAGGTCAAAAGTAAAGCACCTAGCAACTCTGCTACCGCGGCTCTCATAAATAACTCACTACTCATTTATAATTACATTTCTCTCTTAATTATTGTGAATACAACCCAACCAACCTTGGCCACCAGTAGCACAGCGAGATCCATCAGGATGAATGTCCACTGAGAAGATTGGTTTCCCTGAAATAATAAAAACAAATAAATGGCATCAACAATACACTGTAATCAAGGTGGCCACTTGATCCCAGTATTTGGCAATCATCATCAAGTGCCCTTCTAGGTGGCACGGATGTTCAACTCTCCCCAGATTCTAGACTTATCAAATCTACTGATTATATTCTTCTTTCTTACACCACAAAGCAGGGCTACTCAAAGTGACAGCCTACAGGCCAAATCTGGCTTGTGGCAGCCTAGCAAGTGACACGCTGATTACTGATAGTTATACTGTATTAATGAATTTTCTAACCCGAGGCTTAGATGCCAATTTTAAACAATGTTGGTCCTTGTGTGACTAAGCTGAACAGTCCTACCATAAAGCACAATTTCTCTCTCCGGGTCCTTTCTTCTACAATTTTCTGCAAAGCATTTTTTTTTCAACACACAGAGAAAAAAGCAAACACTGTCAAAGAAATCAGTAAAATGTGTAAGTATACGCCAACATCAAAAATAAAGTTGCAAAATGTTTTTTCTTCCTTTCATTCTCCTAGCCAGCGTTGTTCACATGTGAAGACCACAGGCCTCTATGAAGGCTGCTGTGTGATGTATGTCTTCCACTGATGCATTTAGCTTAGTTACCAACAGGTCAGATCTGGGACATCTCTACTGCTGTGCTATTCAACTGGTGAAACATAGGTCAATAGCGGCACAGTGGCCTAGCAAGTGAATCACTGCCAGCTGTACTATATAAATAATATTTCCATGCTGGGGCTCGGTCTAGTGGCCCGTGACGATACTCATTGTTAAGATTTTGGTCCCTCGGTGAATATAGTTAAATACTGCATGTAGAGAGCATGCAGCGTCCAAGGCTTAGGTGTTGTGAGTCTGACTTGTGAACAGACATTATGATCTCAGTGCACACCAACATCAAACCGGTATAAAAGATTCTGCCACCTGTAAACTGTAACCACTCCCAGGGATCTGACCAGACTGAGGAAACTGGGCTGCTACAATTATTAGGACTAGGAAAGTTATTAGGGCACAGGTGGCAACTTTAGATGCACAGTTATGAGTTCGTCACCCCAAAGGGGACTGTATATTTAGTATGACTGATGTCAAGTGCAGAAGTGAGAAGAAAAAATTTAGGCTCTCCTTCGAACTTCGTCCCCATATTATTATTATGGCGGCTGAAAAAATACCCTAACAGGGCCTCAGTCGTGTGTAAAATTCAGAGTGCCTGCAGAGGAACAAATCGCGGCAAAACTAGAATCGCCTCAGAATAACGGACATATTATCGAGGGCAAACAAATGCTCTAACAGGCTCTCAGCGATATGTTAATCGCGGACCTGTTTCTATACCCACTGCAGTATGTATCCCCTGCGCCGCCTAGATGACAAAAGAAGACAGACTTGAATGATGAGTAGCCCTGCTGACTGTCTTTGTCTGCAGTGTTTTCTGTCTCAATTTAGTTGAGTCTATCTGTAATTTAGTAATTAAATTAATTCATATTAAAAATCTAAATATTAAAAAAAAAAAACTTAAAACAGTCAGGAGCTGAGACTGAGGAGTGAGGAGACTAACTATAGCTATTTTAATCATTCAAGTGACCCACTTAAAAACGAAAGTAGAGATCGCTTAGTTACAAGATGGCGTCGGTGGTCCATGAATAATGGCTCCTTTGCCTATCAGTTACTTTGAAATCCTGTCGCTCAATACTGGCTGTTCAGAATCGAATATGTGGGCTCAAAGTTATTCAGAAAAGGTCGCTCAACCAATCGACACCTAACTTACATAGCGATCTTTGTTCAGCCAAATAAATTTCACTATTTGCCATGCGGGAAGTAAATTTCTTTAATATCTCCTTTTTAAAGTGAATATATATACTAGGAATCGTCATTTTTGGATTCTGCGTCCATTTTTACATAAATATGGGCAGTTTTGCTGGAATCTGTACATCACAAAATTTAAACTTTCAATTTCTTCCCGGTTACTTCTTTAAAGCTGAATCGGCGATTTTTCAAAATGGCTACCGCATGGCCTAAACAAATTGTTTATCTCAGATTAATTAATCTAGTTATTTATAAAAACAGTTCAAAAATAATGCAAGTTTTATTTGTATTAATAATTTACCTTTCTTTAACTTTAATTTCACATGAGTTTTAATAATTTTAAATACCTGAAAATAATGTTTTAGCACGTTTTTAAACATAGACTATTTCAAGGGTATTTTGCGTTAAAAATAGACACAGACAGTGGTTTAAATATTTTATAATAATAGTTTCAAATGAATATATAGAAGTTATTTAATCATTTTTTGAATCTTTAGCCATTATAGCATTTTTTAAGCCATAACCTATCATTGGGCATGAACAACATTTTTTGTTTGAAGCCTTTTTACCTGTTGACCCCCATTCCCCGCACCCAGACTGACATTTTGGACGCAGACAGTGGTTTAAACATTTTATAATATACTTTTAAATGAATATATAGTAGTTATTTAATCATTTTTTGAATTTTTAGCCATTATAGCATTTTTTAAGCCATAACTTATCATTAGGCATGAATAACATTTCCTGTTTGAAGCCTTTTTACCTGTTGACCCCCACTCCCCGCACCCAGACTGACATTTTTAAAAAATGTCTGCCACACATTTCTGCACTATGATTTTGTGGTGCATATTTATTGTCTTAAATAGTATAAATAACAGTTATTATTTATGACTGATACTGTTTTAAAATTGACTTATAGATGATGATTTAGAAAGTTGATTAATAAAATTAATAATAATATATTATTTTCAACTGAATAAATTCACTTACTTACAACTTATGATTAATAATATTTAATCACAGATCGCGTAGGACATAGATAAGTTAATAAAATATAATGTAATTTTTCCTCTTACCTTATGAAATGCTGCTCCATGAAAACACAACATAAATCCGAAGCGAATTACATCTCCATGAAAACACAACATAAATCCAAAGCGAATTACAAAGGAGCTTATTTAATAATTTTACTCCATGAAAAACATAGCACTGAGTCACAAATCGGGCATGAGCGGTTACCTTCGATTATTTTGAACAAGTAAATAAAATATCAAGCAGTGACTAGTTAAGAAGAAGAGGGGAACAATGTGGTGAAATGTCTCATCATCAATAAAATGAAAGAATAACTCACAAAGATTGAAAAAGGGATTATGTTAAATCAGTAAGAGGGGCGCTCATTTTCACTTGGTTATAAAACAATATAGGAATATAGGGGTCTCCTTATCAAAGTGGTCAAGCCGTTAACCTCGCGCTCGGAAAATTGTTGTACGTTCATTTACAACTGCATTGTTCGACTCGAAAATGCATTTTTTTGGTTAGCGGAGACCTCTGAGGGCTGTTGCTGGAGCTACGGTATCCAGGCTTTGTGCTAAGCTCTCAGCATGCGTTATTTGTTCAGTATTGTGGAGAAAGACAAAGCCATATAAAATCAGTAACAATGCAATGAAGTCAATCCACTCGCTATTAAATATTAATATTTTTTAAACAGTGGAATAAAACAAATTTCGGTCAGATGTATGCACACACACAAACATACACACACACACAAATAAGAGTGCGAGAAAAAGCATTTTTCAACAAATAGAAAAAGATGCATCATAACAGGAAGAATAGATATAAAAGTATATATATATATATATATATATATTACAGTATACATCTTGCAAGACTCACTGGATAATTAATAATAATTAATTCATAAGGTATTTAATGAATACTGATAAATTTACTCATTTTTATGTTATTTGGGTTTGCATCACATCATATTTTTAAAAAGGCAACAACTTAAGTTAGAGCTTGCTGTCCTGAAAGCAATGACATATGGTTGCTAAGGGGTTCAGCAAAAAACTTGAGAGTTATTGACATTAAACATGATAAATTTAGGTCCAGTTTTCACTTGGGAACACGCCGCCATCTTGTTTCTGTGTTTTCCATTATAATTTTTTGAGGGCACTTTCCGTCACTGAAATGGGAATATCTCCGCTTAGAATTGACATACAGACTTCATTGAGGTACCGTTGAACTCATTTTTTCAACCTCTATTCAGCTGTCTTGGTTTAAAAGTAAAAAACCTAAAATAAAAATTTTGACTAAAATCCCTACTAACTAACTCAAACTCAGTTTGAAACTGTGCCGCTTATCTCTATCCCCTATAAATGCAAACACAGTTTTACCGTCATGATTGATCCAGCCAGGTTTAACAACCCTCATTATTCAGTCCACTAATTGGCTTCTGGCCCCTCAAATAAAAGAAATCCAAAAACAACTCAGCACATCTGACTACCAAGGTTTGGTATACCCGCCATGGCCGCTTTGCTGCAGTCGGTGATTGTTGACTAGAGTTACCGGACGTGGCGTTTCTGTTTAAATTATTAACTATGATCCAAAAGATATTGCGAAACAAATACATTGGAGCTCAAAGCAAGAGCGAATGGACGTCGCTTAGTGCAGCAAAGCCTGGCATATGCTATCATCACGTCTAGTTTGAGAATGGAGGTGGAGGCAGTCGCTGCTGCCTTCCTCTGCTTTGAGACTCAGCAGTACACACATGTGGTAATTGTAACTGACTCGGAGCATATTGAGAAAGGTGGAGACAGACATGCAGAGTTGCAAGCATCGCTTCAGAGGTCCTGAGTAGTTAGCAACCATTAGATATTTTCTAAATGTCATATAGGTGTGTTGGGAAACAAGCAGGCAGATAGACTGACCAGTTCTGCACCATTTAGTGGTGAACTGATGTATGACAAACTGAATGTTGCGAGGGGCCTTTGGAAGCGAGTGAACAGTGCGAAGGCACAAAAAAATATTACGGTCTGATGAGAATGGCGCTGCGAAGGGTTACCAGGGGATCTGGTAGAAGGGAAAATCTGATTTCACACTTCGGGTAGATGAGGATCGTCAGGAAGGGAGAGAAGTTTATATAAGAGAAGGAAAACTCTGATTTTAAATCTCCGCTTCTTCCAGCAATACCCGATTTAGGGAAAGCGCTTCGGGAGTAAACCCCCAGGAAAATTCTGGAACTGGAATCGCTAAGGTTCAGCTGTGTTGAAACTATTCCTGCAAGTCCTCGCTGCCAAGCTGAATTGACACTCAGTCTTACAGACATCCATCCAAGTGAGGAGTGGATACCAGCGTCTAAAGCGCTCAATCTCACATTCTCCTGTGTCGTGAGACGCTCGACAGGAATTGTCGGGAGCAGTATCCACTTGCTGTCAATGCCGAGGCATGCGCGCTTATCAGTGACAAGTCAGATGAGACAGATGTGGTGATCTTCACAGACGGGCTTGTTATACGAGGGCAAGAGTGCATGGACATCTACAGCTTGCTCTTCAGGCAGAACAGTTCAGGAAGCCAGCGGTGCCTTCTCTATGACCACTAGCAGCATGACGATGGAGGTGATAGCGGTGACACAGGCTTTCGTGTGGCTGGGATCACGGGTGTGTGTGCTGAGTGATTCTTTGGGAATGATCCGGCGGGTCGAGACAGGTTGGTTACGCAGACAGTGGCTTGAGTCGTTGCAATATTCTCCCGTGTGTGAAGTTTCTTGCATATTCGTCCCAGGGTAAGCAGGCGTTGTTGGTAATGAGAGAGCTGATAGACTGGCAGGTGCTGCATTAATTGAAGATGGCCGGCCCATGGATCACGCAGACATTGTCTTTGCACTTAGAAAGATAGGACGTTTTGAGGATTTTGGAAGCAACGTGACCACATCCCTGCTAAGAATACGCGAATTAGGAGTAAAGATCGGCACAGCCAAGCATGAGAAGCACACCGGACTCATAGGGGACTGGTACTATTAACCGCACGACGCTGATGAATATGTTGAGAGAGGAATCTGAGCCTCTATGGATGTGTCCGGATTGCTGTAAGATAATCTAACTCATAACACATTGACACTTGTCACTCCTTTGGTATCACCGGCAATGTTGAGAGGGGGTAGTACTTGTTGCCTGGGCAACAGTCTGTACACCAGTTCAATATTCCCAAGTTTGTGCCATGGAGAGGCTACTCCAGCGGGGCTTAACAGCTTCGATACAGCACGAGAAAGCAACAGTCACAGGTTATAAGCCTGTTCTCAACTGGCTTAGAGTAAGGCGCCAGGTGGGAGATGTCATCGTAATATCATTAGACAGCTAAGAACACACAAAAAACATTAAGCTAATCCCGGATTCTGGTTATTGTGTCAGATGGCGAAACACGGAAGCCTGCGTCAAGGCTATTTAACTAAGTTTAGTCAGAGGCATAGACAGATCATAAATATAAAATAACTGGCAATAATCCGTGGGCCACTTGCTGGCTCTCCACAGGGCGCCAGTTGAATTATCCTAGCCTACGCTTACCGGTACGGCACACGAAGATGATGGCGGCCAACAGCAAGCAGGTGATCAACACACCGCAATCAGTTACGTTATAGTTAACTGAACCCCGTAATGGGTGGTATCATTAAACTAGAACATTAGACTCAGCTGAAGTATCATCGACGATATATCACAGCGGAGATAACACTAAAACTTCTGGCCGCCGATGCTTGATTTTGTTGTGTAGACAGAATATCTCGGACAGTTTTGATTGATTGTTCTTGTGGGAGTTTTAGCTGACTGAATGTTTGTTTACTAAACCGTCATCATGGCGACGACGGCAGATGAGGATGTCAGAGTGCAAGAAATAGCCAGCAAGTTTGCCGGCAAATGGAAACAAGTCAGGGGTGAAAACATTGATGATTTTTTCAAGGAAATGGGTAAAGTGTTCACCATTTAAAATGTAATAGTTTAATGTTACATAGACATGTATTTAATCATCATCATCATGATGTAGCAGGTTCATTGCAGAACGTCGCTCTCATCACAGTCTGCCTGAAGAAAGCACGGTCTCTTGCCAGTTTTCCCTCATTAACTTTCATACTCAAGGAGTCACTTATATCTTGTGCCCATCTTCGTGTTGGCCGGCCCTCAGAAACATATCTCATTTAACTCAAAGGGTGATTATTGGGATATAAAATGTTCATTGAGTTCTAAGTGTAAATTTCATATATTTGTTTTTTAAACTTTATTAATTTATTAATTTTTTAGAATCTGAGAGGAAATCCCCAATTAGCATTCAAGTTAAAAGTTGTACAAATCATCTAAGTTAAAAGTTGTTAATTGTTTCCAGCCTTAGAAAGCTATTTTATATGAGAGTTAGCATTTATCCTATTTCGTTTTTGCTGTCTGCTGATTATATTTTAGCATGAGCTCTTGTTTCCTTTCAAGGTCTGAACTTCCTGCTGCGGAAGTTAGCAAGCCAAGCTAATCCAGAAGTGACTATAGCAGTGAATGGGACAGAGATAGTGGTCAGCTTTGTGTAAGTCATGATTTGAAACAAAAGTATTCAGCAAAATGTTTCTTTCCTGTTACAACATCCACATGTGAATCGTAGATTATTTTGTGTAATTGGTCCCTAACTTTATTTCTGTTTTGTCTGAACATTATTACTTATTGGTATACAGACTGTTGGCTGCAGTGATGAATGACCAATCCATTTGCTTGTTTTCCTTAATAAAACCTAATGCTGCTGCTACCGCCAGAACAGTAATCAAGTCAGTTTAATTATTTTTTTCACAAATTGTACTCACATTTGTATGTTCCTTACAGTACAGAGGAAGCTCACTGAGTGGGCTCCAAGGTCCCATCTTAAGTAAGTAAATAGAGGACCCTTTTCCCACGCCTTAGGCATATTGGGCATATAGGGCTAGACATATATTTTATAGACCAATCGGCACTTGATGGGTGATGTTGTTAGTATCACACCAGCAGTTTTTACTTCCCAGGACTTCAGCTGGTACCTACTCAAGGCTCTGCCAGGACCTGAACTTAGAACTTTCCGATCTGCAGGTGAGCCTCCAGCCACTACACAGTGGCAGCTGCCAGGTCCCATTTGATTAGAGAGATCAAAGAATAGACCCAATTGAGCAGCTGAAGCAGCTAATGAAGAATTTGCCAACACCAGATGTGTTGGTTCTACACTGGCCATTCTGCACCACTTGGTGGTAAATTGATGCATGGCAAGCTAGACGTATTGAGGGCCCTCTGGGAGCGAGTGAACGGTGTTGAAGCGGAAATAGATCATTACGGTCTGAGAAGAATGGCACTGCGAGAAGTTACCAGGGGATCTGGCCGATGCTCAACACTTAAGGGAAGGGCGAGACGGATACACAATCAGACAGTTACTAGTGCCATGAGAAATGAAGCTCTTCATTTGCTGCTGAAGATAGGGATGGAGGGTGTCTTGAGTGCTATGATGTTGATTCTTAATTCAACATTCAATAGATGTGTTGGCAAAAGAAGTAGACAGGAAGCTCATTTTCCCAATCAACATGCCAACAACCTTTATTTTTCAGGACATTTCCTGGTACTTATATTAGGATCGGTTGATCTAGGAGTCAAGGTCAGTCATAAAATTCCTGCTGAGTGTGGAATTGAACCAAGAACATCAATTTAGTAGGTGTCTAGCTATTAAACTATGGTGTCTACCACACAACAGTAATAAAATAATGTTTTCTTTGTTGTTGTTTGCGTTCACTGGCTGTAAACCCTGACAGAAACACCTGGTTGTTCGTCCCTTTTTGGACTTTGGCATTGTTCCAAGACCTGAGTTTTGCATGTGCATCGGTTTCACAGATCTGGCTTATTTGTATGAAAACTGTTGGTTCCTTGCCTCTCAGTCAGATGCATTCTGAGTTTGAAAGAAGATCCCATTAGTCAACTCCTATGACATGCTTGTTGGACAGGCAGTGGGTCTATTCCTGTTTTCCCCCACAGTGTGACCCCAGAACCCACACAGGGAGAAAATGTTTTCTTTAAATACTTTGCTCATGTATGTTCCTGATGTTCACGAAAAGCAGTAAACTAAATTTCTGCATTCTATAATTCCACAGAACTCCATTCAGGGCCGAGTGTATGAAATACAAACTGAATGAGACAGTGGAAGTGGAAAACCAGAAAGGAAAATTCATGGTGAGCTTGATTTTATGTTCAAGGAGTTATGAAAATAAAAGTTAGTTTTAGGACATAAACATTTAGAAAACGTGAAGCTTAGGTTAGCATATAAACAACTAGAAAACAGTAAGTATAGGTCAGTATGGTAACAGTTGAAAAAACATTAAGTGTCAGTCATTAAATGAACAGTTGTAAAACATGGTTTAGGTCAGTGTATGAGCAAATGTAAAACAGGAAGTTTACTTCAGTATATGAACAGTTGTAAAAATCAAGTTTAGGTCAGTATACGAACAATTATAAAACATAATATGAAGGTCAATTCTTAAACATTTGGACAATGAAGAAGTGAAGATCACTAATAATAAACAGTTTAGACAGCATGAAGTGTTTATCGGTCTGTAATCAACATGAAGAGTAGGTCAGTACGTAAGAAGCTGGAAACTATAATGAGTATGTCAGTTTTTGAACAGTTGGAGAATATGAAGTGAAGGTCAGTACATTCAAATCTGCAAACATCAAGCGTATCTTAGTACATAGACAGTTGGAAAACACAGTGTAAATCAGTACTGATTCCTGTCAGAGGAGGTTTTCACTGGGACCCCAACTTCTGTCTTAGAATCCACTATCTCAGTCTTCTCAAGCAAGCGTATTAAATTACTTATAAAGCATGCATTGAAACAATTTTATCTTATCAGGTACATTACCACAGAGTTACATTAACATATAATGAAGCACAAGGTTGAATGTTGAATAAAGAATTGACATCACAGAGCTTTCCAGTTACGATGGCACCAGTAACTGTCTGTAATGAAGCTCAAAAAAAATGTTACTGATGTTAGTGAAGACCTAAGACGACCACCCTTTCTGTGTTCTCCAGGCAACAACCACATATGAGAATGGGAAGCTGACCACAAAACAGGAACCAGTTGCAGGCAATGACTCCAAACCTACAGTCTCTGTCAGAGAGATAAACGAAGCTGGAGAACTCGTCACAGTATGTACCAAGATAAGAATAGCAGATGGGAACAAATGTCCCATCCTTCTTTGTCTTCCTTTCAACCCCTAATAGACTGTGTGCTGTTAACCAACTCATGCCAGACCTTTGTACACTTGTTCATTTTTGCACTTCATTTATAAACCCTGGTCTTTTTCTTTTTGTCCTCCCTGTCAGTGGTTGTCTGCTGAGAAAGCCACATGCCTCTGCGTAAGCTTTTGTGTGACACATCCTCCACTGTTCCTTACAGATTAATTGACAACTGAAATGTGCCCTTTCCAAATGTAATTACTTGTATTTTCATGGGTGGACTTGATTAGTATTATGCTGAATGTCTTTGCTGCCGACAATATTTCCTGGTGCTCATTTTTAGACTACGTCATTCTGGGAGCCCAGGTGAATTTTTTTTTTATCCGCCTAAATAAGGACTCAAGGATATGACTGCTGGGTCAGCAATTAAGTGTACTTGCCTCTCTGTGCTCCTTCTATCTCTGGTTTGTTACCACCGTTCCCCACTGCCTGAAGGTTTGACCTACCCCTGGGAAATTAGGAGTCTCATCCTAGTAGCAAGCCAGCAGTGCATATCCCAGATACGCTGTTCAACCTCAAAAGAAATCATAATTGGAGGACCTGTAATGACTACACCTGCCTAGTGTAGACTGCAGTTCTGTGCAGGTAAAAATATGCCCCACTGAGCCGGTATGACTACCTCACATCTGGTTAGGCAGAGAAAATGCATTACTTGTATTTCTGATGAATTGTTTTTATGAATATGTTACCTGAAATATTGTCTAGAACAGTGTTCTTCAGCTGTGGGCCATAGCCCAGTGGTGGGCTGCAGAAAAGTCCACATAGGCTTGCAACAATCTTTTCATAATCATATAGCGGGGTTGCAGCGGGAGTTTCTCTCTTCCAGGACTGCACTCTGTAGTAGTAACACATCAAGGATGAGAATTAAAAGATGTTGCATCAGCTGAAACTTGTAATTATGTGACATGGGGTTTAACAGATGTTTTTGTTTCTATGTTTGGTTGACAGTCAGGTGGGTGGAAACACAGTTTCCCTTGTTTTGGTAGGCTGGGGGTGGTAAAAGGAAGAGGTGTGCATGTTGTTCAACCTCACCAGGACCAAACAATGAGCAACCGAAAACCGGTGACAAAAAGTGCCACCATTCGGATGAGGATCACCCTGGCACAAGCTCCAGAAACCAGTTTAACCATTAGGTTATATTGGACCCCCTACTACAGCCAGGATGGGGCTATAAAGTAACGAAAAAATGTTGTCCTACATGGAGAAGGGAATAACTGGAAAGTGAAAGGTTGACGAACACTGAGATCTAGGGGTTTTCTGTGATGAAGTGGTCAAACTGTTTGCCTCTTGCTCTGAAAGTCATGGCTGCATTCCATATGTTATAACCCTGGGCATTGAAGTAGATCCTTTCAACGTTAACTGCATCTGAAACACCAGTAGACATTATAAATTTAAATTATAAATTATAATTGAACAATACATAACATTTAAAGAGGCTGTACACTATTGCTGGTTCCATGATTAGTTTACCCCCCTAAAAGAGCATACAAATAGTGAAGTACTTTGAGGAACCTGGTAAGACAGCCAGGTCAACAGCAATGTGTACAGACAAGCAAGCACCTTTAACTTCCTAACAAATACTACATTACTGTGCCCAAGATGATGAAAACAATCAGAAATGGCAGAATTAACACTGGGGCTAGTAAATTTGCAGCTAGAAAGCCAACATCGGCCTGCAGCAAGACAGACAATGATACTATATTATTATAAAAGACTACACATAATTTTGTAGACTCAGTGAGTGATGAGGTCAATATTATGCTAGCCACTTTTTCTTCCCTAGATTTTTACCTGGTACCCATGTAAGGCTGGGTTGCCTGGGAGACAAAGTTGTTTGAAAAACAAAATAGATGTCGGGCACCATTCGAAGTCAACACCAATATATGTTTAATTTGTGTTTGATCCTCCAGACAGTCTATGTTGGCGATGTGGTTTGCAAGAGATATTTCATCAAGCTGCCTTCATCGTGAACCACGAGCTGAGACTTGTCTTGCTGCTGGCATCATTACTAAGAAGGGCTGTGAAACACTGCTGTTGTCTTCTGATTATTGGCTACAGGCCAATGGGAGCTTCATAAAGAGTGCAGCTTTGTGATTTGACCAATGATTACACCCAATGGCAAGGTGTTCTTTGTTAGATGTTGTCATTTACTATTTATTTTTCCGACTTGTTTCATCAAAATCAGTATTTCATCTTTGCATGGAAGGGTGGCTGTGATGACATTCTGTCTTATATCTTTATGGTGTATGTCTTATATCCTTATGGTGTACTCAAACATTCTTCAGTTATTATCTCTTATGATGTTGTCTGCCGTATTAAATATTGCCTTCTGCTTGACAATTTTCTTCTGTAAATCTTGGATCTTGGAAATAAGTTTAATTTGTTTCTTTAATTCTTCTGTTTCCTTTATTAAAAAAAGACTTCTATTGGAACCGTCAGTTGCTGTCCATTTTTTCCCCCCTAATATTTTAAATGCTTTTTTTCCCTATCCAGTCCACCATTATCTGTTTATGTTTTCTACTATTGTCAAAAGTGTTTTTAGACTATTTTAAATTTCACAGAATATATATTAGGTGACAACCAAGTGGCTTTTTCTAACAGAACATATCAGCAGTAGATAAAATATTCACATTAAGACAAACTGGGAATATGAAAGATATATACTATAGTTCTTGTGAATAAAAAAAAAAAAGCCATATAATCGATGTACATATGCGTAGTCTGTAGAATGACGTGCAGAAATATGGAATACAAAAAAAGTTAATAACATAACCAGAATATGCATGGAAGACACTTCAAATATAGGAACATATAAGGCAGAAAATCGGACCCCTTTCTAAATCAGATTGGGAAGATTTTTAAAACACTACAATTGAGAAAACTATCAATGTGTGAATTTAATACACTCTAAGACTGTTACGCCTAGTATGAATACAGCCCTAGCATTAGGGCCTGCTCCTTTTACAAACAAAGGAAGCTTATCTCGAAAAGCATTTAATTTTTAAACCACATAAAGTTTGTCTTGTGTCTTCTTTGCAGTTGCAAGTTCAGTGTGTTCAAATGAGCAAACAAATCGTTTAAAAAAAAAAACATTTGCCAAAAACTTTACACATCTTGTGCTGATTGGTCTATAAAAATATAGGTTTAGGCCTATATACCCTATACGCCTAAAGTCATGAAAAAAAGGACGTTTACATTTTGCCAAAAATACACGGTCACCTAATATTTTCCTATACTTTTGTACCTTGCTATGAGAACAGTTTCTGAGAAAACATATTATTTCTTCTTTGATACTCCAAAAACGATCAAGTGCTTTCCCTTTACTCAGCCAAAAAACATTATTATACAGAAGTAAGTCTGTAATCTGCTTCCGTTTCTTCAAGTAACTGCTGAAATAACCAGTGCTGAAGACTTGATGAGGATCAAATGAAATTTATTATTTTCAGCACCAAATTTATTGTTTCTTTCATCTTGCGCTCAGTTTGCTGCACAGAACAGTATGATGGATAAGACAATGTAGTGACTGCATCTGAGGTGCCACTGCAGAAAGTCTTGCAGTCACACCTTGATGCTTACCTAACACTGATGAGGCTCCGTCCTTCACCGATACACAAATTTTATTCAAATCAAGTCCATTTTCTGTGAAAAATAACTTAATCTTGTCAGAAAAAACTTTTCCAGTGGTGAAATTATCTAATGCTATTAAAGCTATAATTTCTTTAAGTAAACATTTTCCATAGAAAAAACGCACATATAAACATAACTGAGACACATCTAAGATGTCTGTAGATTCATCAATAGCGACTGACAAAAATTCTGCCTGCTTTATGCTTTCAGTTAAAGATTCAAAAACTTCAGTTCCTAAAATCTCAATTCTGCATGTCTTCGAAGTATCTGATATAGGGATTTTCTGAACTGTATGTGCCACGCTTGTTTTTATTTTGTCATCAACTGCTGTTTTGTCCAGAATTGCTAGTATGCATTCTTTCACGGTTTCTGAGTCAGTGAAAGGCCACTTCTTTTTGGCTAATATCTATGAAACATGCAAAGAAGCCGCTGTAGCTTTTTCTTGTTGAGTACAAGCTCGCACAGAAACATGGAGTGATTTAATTGTTTTTTTAATATACTACATTTTATTGGCAACATTTGGCGGGCCACTCGCTAGGTCTTTGCGGGCCACAGCTGGCCCGCAGGCTTCCAGTTGAATACAGAATAGCCCTGTTTAAAGCAAAGTAATGCCATGTCTCTGTTCTTTTCAGCTTCACCTAGAAAAAAATATAAGGGAGGTAAAAGAAGATTGTGCTACAGGAAAAACACAAATACTTGGTTATGCAGATGACAATGATATAGCTGTAGAAAATGAACAAGAGACAGTGAAGACACTGATTCGCTTTAAGGAAACAGCAACACACACCCCAAAATAAAATAAAAATGTGGGGCAAGCTGTCAGTCAAGATAAGACACAATACATAGTCATAACAAGATAGGGAAAGGATAAAATCTCTGGTCACTTACAAACTGAAAACCAAAAAATTGGAAACATACATGTACTTGAGTGAAAACTTCAACTGCTACAACTTACTCAGAGAGGAAATACATCTTCTAAAATCAAATAATCTTATCTCTTAACACCAAGATCACAATATGTAAAACACTGATACTTGTACACATCTTTGAAACATGGATTACAGATTAAAGAGAAGGAGACTTGAGAACATGGTATCATCATATATTTTTGGATTCATAACAAGTACCAACAGCCGGGAATGCAGAGTGAGAAGCAACAACCTAATTTATAATCTGAATCACCACTAATTACTGGAAGATAACAGGTAGAAAAAAAACTGTATTTTAAAAAACAACAACAAAGAGTTCAGTAGGAGTCGATCATGATGCAGATCAAGAAGACGTCTGAAAGAAAATACAGGCAGCCCTACAAACATTTAGAATCCCCTACCAGAAAAGAGAAGGCCAGTTACAGAGGAATAGAGGTGAGCGATATCTGCAACATTGAACCTCAAGGGCTTGGAATGCTGAAGAAGAAGTTTGAAGTTTAAAAAACGGATCAATATCATGGCACAGGGGTAGTAACCCATAAAAACTCCATTCTTCTTCTGACTCAAGTCAGAATCCGAAGAAGCTCAGCACGGTGCACTGGCTCTGTAGCACTGGCGAGTACTTTGGGTAGAGTTTTCGCTGTTTGCCACAGTATTTGCTCTGCCGGAAATAAATCAATAGCACGGTATTTGTCCATCACTTACCTCTAAATGGAAAAATCGTGTTTCTTAAAGAATGTTCCAATATTATTGTAAATGATCTTTTTAAGGGCTATTCTTCTGAAAAACTTATCTTCAATCAAACGCAGAAACTGGTCTCTGAGGATGGATGCGTCCCACGGGATCATATTTATCCTTTTCCGAACCTATGTTTAAAGTTCAAAGAACTCTTAACTCTGTGAAAAAATGCACATTAACTCTTTAAACAGACGTCATCGCATGGAAACAGAGCAATAATCACTGTAAATAAACGATAACTTACAGATGTTCTAAAGAGATTAGAAAGAGAGAGAGAGAGAGAGAGAGAGAGAGAGAGAGAGAGAGAGAGAGAGAGAGAGAGAGAGAGAGAGAGAGCTGCTGCAAGAGAAAAAAAAAAGAGAGACGTGAAATATTTCAGCCATCCTGGAGGGAACAGTTGAAGGCAACTGAGCAAGATGCAGACAACGATCAAATTCGGAGTACAACATCAAGAGATGGAAAAATAGCAGTCAGAAAGACTTACATCCGGGGCGAAAGACAGAGCGTGTTGGTGATCCAATGCAGCCATCATGTATTGCGCAGATGGCACTTGAGTGATGGAGAGATAATAAAATAACTATGACTTTGATATGAGTATGCAACAAATCATCTTAAAGGGTCTGGTTTGGTATCGGTGATCATGACTCGTTAATCCTTATCAGCTGCCAGGTTTGATGATCACGAAGTTGCTTACACTTTTTGTTTCACGGACTGCATCGTTTGGTTTGCGGATGCAATTTATATGGAGATCATTGGGGATTGTTGCAGGAGCTATGGAGCTCGTGCTCGGTGCAGGCGGGTAGCCGTTCTATTCGGGGAGGGGGGGGGGAGAAAAGGGTAAAGTCTGTCCCCCCCCCAAAAAAAACTACCACTACTGATTAGTGACTGTACTGACCACTTTTTCAGTGTAGGTGCGGGGGTTGGGGGGAGTGGGAGGGGGGGGGGGGTCATTGAGCCTGGAGATTTAGGGCCGCTTGGCTAGTGCAGTCTCAATGGTCTGTTCAGGTTAGGGTTTAATTCTAAAACCCCTAACTAACCTTACCGAGGATTCGAACCAGCGTCTCCGGCAATAGCGCCCAGCGTTCTTACCTGTTCGGTCAGCCGCTCCTCTAGGGAGAGGGACAGAGAGAATGAGAGGGGAGAAAGAAAGAGAAAATGAGAGAGAAAGGGGGAGGGGGAGAAATACCAAGCTATATGGGTTGGAAGTCATTTCCCGGACAACGAAGACAACCACCATGTTATCAGTCACCTTGTCCACTGAGTGTTGGTTACAACAATATGCCTACCACTCTACATAGGGTAATGCAACAGCTATAAAGTTAGTTGTGAATCTTTTACAGGAAGTTGCAGAACAAACACCAGCATTTCTGTGGCTGTTGTGGTTTTTCTAGGCAAATTAACGTCCAGTAGTTTATGTACTGCTATAGTGTGTCTTATTTTGTGTACTGTTTTCCGCATTGCAGTTCTATTCACAGTCGATATTACTGGTTACATTGATAACAGTATTAGGATGAGACACTAAGCGTCAGCCAAATTCCACTGTTGAACAACCACATTCGAATACCTGCCACCGTTCAAAAAGAAATTCTGAACCAAAAATACTCCTTCACAATAATTATTATCAATATAGTTGAGATCAATTACTAAAACACAGGTATAAAGCAGTGATATTTAAA